TTTAGTAGAATAATGGAATAATTTAGGCTGAAACAGCTCTCTGGAGGTCCAGACTGCTGCTCAAAGCAGAACAAACTTTGAAGATCGATTAGGCCGCTCAAGGCTGCTTTTAAAATCTCTAAGGACAGAAAATATGGAGATTCCACAGGCGCCTGCTTCACTCCTGGATCATTCTCCTGATGATTTTTTTGTTTCACTGCATAAACGTCACTGAAATTTCTCCAATATAATTTGACTGCTGTCTGTTGTCCTTATACTGAACACCTCTAAAAAGAGTTCAAATCTGTTCTACAGACAGTTCCTCTAACTGGGAAGACACAGCTTTTGCTTGCTCTGCTACAGGCAGATCAGATCTCCACAGATCATGTGCTCCAGCTCCACAACAACATCTGACTTCTTTCCCCAAATGGCAACCCTATCCTCCAGCAAATTGGCTGCTGCCCACTATTTGGTATCATCTGCGAGCACGATGAGGATGCAGTGCAACCTATCATCCTGTTTGTTGATCAGTATTCAGTCCTGAGGAACATTACTTCTGTCACCAGCTGGATTTCAATCCACTATCATAACCTTTTGAAACATATTCAAGTGGAATCCTTGCACCCTCTGTAGTCCATCTCTCCGCAATTCGGCTTCATAGATGCTATGAAAAACTTCAGCTGACATCAGAGAAAATGACATCCACTATTGTTCCCAAAGCAATTGCCTAATGACAGGTGATCACATTGATCAGGTGCAGTTTGTCCTTTATAAACCCATGCTGGCTGTTCTAGGTCACCTTATTTTTATGTGCTTAGAAATGGCTACAACGAGGACTTTGATCAAATTTAACAGAGACTAAAGTGAGGCTGACTGGTCTGTAAACTTGCTCTTTCTCATCTTTTTAAGAGCTAGACATAACATCTTCCTTTTCTTGATCATCAGGAATGTCCCTTAACTACACAGACTTTCAAAGATACCTGAGAACAGACCTTCTCAGGAGACAGAGTGAAGAAGAAACAATACCCGTCTTTTTTTTTCTTACTCTTCATCACTGTCACTCCATTCAGTAGCAGGCCCACATTTTCTTTGTCTTCCTTCTGCTGATATCTCACAGAAATCCTTCTTGCTACCTTCAGAATCTTTCAGCTCTCAAACAGTTCTGTCCCTTATACACTGTTCCCATATGCCTGTGCACATTCTGGAAGTCATCCTGCTTTACATCTGAGTAGTTCTTTCGTACTCTGAGGCAGTACACTTAGAGTAATCCCCTGCAATGCACCCAATCCCAGAAAATCCTGTCCAGCACTAAAGCAAGGATCTTCCTTTACACCCTTCATTTATCGCTGGGCTCATTTGTGACTTGCCATGTTGCTCTTCCTGCAAATTTGAGGTGGTTGAAAATCCCCATGGAAACCACAGCACGCAATCAGGACACTTCTTGGAATCAATTAAGGAAGGCTTCATTTTTTTCTTGATCAGGTGGGCTGTTGCAGGTAGCCACCACAATATTCCCTTTCTTGGCTTCCCCTTAGAATCATAGAATTGCTCAGGTTGGAAAGGACCTTAAGAGTCTTTAAATCCAACCACAACCTAACCATACTTCCCTAACTAACAACCCTCTGCTAAATCATGTCCCTGTGCACCACATCCAAATGGTTTTTAAACACTTTTGAGGATGGTGATTCAACCACCTCCCTTCATCCCTTACGATAAGCTCTTGACAGGTCTGCCACAGTTTGTGTTGCATTTATTCCCTGCACATGTACATGGACCCCTTCATTTCTCTTTCCTACCTGTCTATCAAGCCTGTGTCCAGCCATCGCAGTATTCCAATAGTGCAAGCTATTCCACCACGCCCACGTCGTACTGTGGTGTCATAGCTTTGTGACTGCACAGGCTGGTCCTGTTTATTACAGACTGGTCTTATTTTTGCATTTCTGTTCATGGACAAGAATCTCAGATGAGGCTGTCAGTCCAGTTTCTCATGGTGGGGGATTTCCACACTCCCACATGCCTTTGGTTTTTGCTAGGTTTTGGTCTCCACGCCCAACAAACCTAGTTTAACATCCTATCCATATGTTAGAAATTTTGTCAGCAAAGATACTAATCATCATTGAGTGCATCTTATTTTTCCTCATTCCAATTCCTCGTTCCTCAGAGATCCTGTGGCCATTAAGAAGAAACAACAACAACAAAACAACCCTCACAAAACCAACAAAGCCCTGCCCATGACCCCGGCCATGCAGTCAAGCGTTGATCTGCCAAATACATCTACAATTACCTGAGCTTTCCACTTCGCCCAGGAGAAACAAGAATGGCACTGGAGCTCCCTCCTCCTTCAGCTGAGGCCCCAGAGTCCAGCAGTCACCCTAGATCCCCTCCAAGGTCTCCAGGCTCATGCATAAAAAACAAGGTAGCCTGAGAGCCTCAGCCTCTTAACAATGTGCTAAAGATGGGTTCAGGCAAGGAAAGATTCCAAAACATGTTTGACTGACAGGGTGATGCCCTGTAGAAGTTCCTGACTGTTGTTACCTGCCACTTTCCCTTGGTATCACTGGCTCCAATGGCATAGTTAGATGCCAGTAAGACTATTCTGTTGGCAGGGCCCTATACTTCTCCAAATAAACATCTGCAGTTCGAGAAAAACTTTTTTTCATTCTCACAGAAATCACCTTTGCCCTGCTCAAACACTAACTCTGATCCTCCCCTTCCATACACGCATTCTGTCTTGTCACCGTCATTACTTTGATGACGATACTGATACTTTCCCACATTGCCTATGGCTTTTCTGTCCATCCTCTTCCACCAACTCCTTTACTGCTGTTTACTCATGGCAGTCACAGTGTTAAGCACGGAGATGAAGGCAAGCCTACACTCCTCCTCGCTGCTCAGCAAAAGCTTCCAAGCCTCAGTACGTGGCTGTATTTCTCCCACCTCATGCATGCTGGGAGCAGCAGGGATGCTGATCCTAACACGCTGAAATCTGATGCACACCTGCTTTGGCCCCGTTAGATTTCCTGCCCACTGTTCAACTCTCCCTTCTAGTTTGCTGCTGTGCTTCATTTAGCTCACAAGCATGAGGTCTGCAGATTTTCTCCTGCTCTTTGCTTATAAGGCTTTGAAAAGTTTTTTGAGAAGCTTCTTTGTCCCCTAGATCAAATAATACACTAAAACAGCAACACTAAAAGCAAACATTCAACTCACTACACGAAGCAAGCGCTCCCCAAAGTAAGCTTTTATGTTCAGCTTTGTTGTGCTCTAATCATTCCTCAGTTAGTTCTATGCAAAAGAGCAAAGCTCCATCTTCTTCCCATAATTAATTACCACATTTTTCCCTGAAAGGTAAATATTCAAGTGTACGGACATGTTCAAAGTGACATTTTTTACATATAAAGACAGCTTATGTATTTTCCCTACTATTCTGTATTTCAAAATCACACCTCCAGACCCCAAAACAGGAATTGTAAGCATGAGCTCATGAGGCTTTTCATTTTTAATGGAATTTTATACTGCTTGTGATACACAAGGGAGCTGACACTTTCAGTGTTCACTGCAGTTCTCTCAGAGGTTCAATTTAAGTTAATGGCATCACGTAGCCAAGTGAAATCAGGACAGTCATGTTGCAACTCCTGTTATGCAATACCTGACTACATCAAGGTCTGTAGAGCATTGTGCTTCAGGATGAATGAAATCACAAGTCTATCAAAACTGTACCCCTTATGACTTAACTCCTTTTTGACCTTAGCTTACAATGAAAACAATTAAAGAAAAAAAAAACAAAGAGACCTATCAAAAATCTGGCACTTCTGAAATGAACAGTAAGCTCTACAGTCATCCTGTTGAGATTCAATTCCTGCAGTCTAGACAATACTAAAAACAGAAGTTTAAGTCAGCTCTTGTCTATAATCAAACTCAACTACCCAAGAATGCATTATTTCCTGGAAAGGAAGCTTGGTTTTATATAAAGTGTTTCTTCAGTGAAAATCACTGTGTTAAAATGCAAAAAGCCCAAAATCTTATTTACCATCAGCACTCAATTCACATGTCATCCACAGAAGTGTTCTAAGTCTTCTGAAGAGCTAGATGATAGAAAAATGTTTCGGATGTTGAGTAACGTTTGGATGTTGTGTTGAGGGACATGGTATGGTGAGAGCTATTGGCGATAGGTGGATGGTTGGACTGGATGATCTTGTAGGTCTCTTCCAACCTTGGTGATTCTGTGACCCAAATAACAATGTTGTCAAAATAGCCTATAGCTGAGAATGGCTTTTTACTGCAGTTGTGGAAACAGTCACTTATGATGAAATATTTAATCAGATGTGCTGTGGTTTCTCATTCATTTAAAAAAAAAAATAAAATAAAATAGAAACAAAAAAGTGAAGTGGAACGCAGCAACTTCACAACAAAGAACTGAGAAAGGTATAGGGTGTTGTTTTTTTAATCAACTGTCATCGTCACCATAGTCATGATGAAGGGACTGTCAGCTATAGCTTAGACCCTAATTATTTCTCTCACAGAATTCCCATAATTTGTTGCACAAATTAAAGTGTCTGAGGGTTTCATAATGTATGTTTCTGAACAAACCTATTGGTGCAAAGCTGCACAGACCAACTTTCAGTGCCTTTCTCAGACAGCAAAGCAAGCATTCAAGAGCTAAACTTGTCAGTCATCTTTAAGTAACTCAATTGAACTACACAAGACAAAATTTTACCAATACAGGTAGTATTCTTTTTTCCCCTCTCTGCTCAATCATAAGATATCTGACAACTCAAACTGATACCCAAAAACTCAGACTTTATGAATCAATATAAGAAACTGCAGGATTCACTGGGCTTAAAAGAAATGTAAGCACAAACACACACACACACAGAGTCTCTCTCAACTACAGACTAGACTGACTCTGGAGAGGAAAACAAATGAAAAAAACATTCTTCAATAAAATCCCCCAGACCCACAGGGCTTCCCAAACTTTCTAAACATCAAGATCTTTTTTTATTCAATAAGTCTCAAAAATACAATTTAGCCAGCATAATAGCTTTATTTTGCAAGTTATTATATACAATTCAGCAAAACCTCACAGGAGACTTACCACTTTTTGGCATTTCCTTAAATGAGAATCAAAGTGCAAGGTCTCCAATCAGTCCCCAAGGAAAGAGAAAACACTTTGCTGTTAACAGAAGTCATGTTAACATTTAAAGTATCTAATTAGTTAAAGGCCACATCTCCATATGCAATTAGAAATAATTTAATAGTTTTAGCTTCTTTTGGTATGACAAATTGCAAGAGATCCTACAGCTAACAGGGAACAAAACTACATTTTCCCAAGACACAGAAAAATGCAAATGGCACTGTCTACATTATTCCACACACCTTAAAAATGAATGCCAGCAATTCACTGTTCCCATGCGCTCAAGTTGAATTTTACATCCTTCAGACATGTCATTGCTCACCTTAAAAAGATTTCAATCAGAAAAAATACCTTCTAACATGTAGTATTTTGAGACAATGTTCCTCCATAGTTCAAGTAATTTTTACACACTACGTTATTTCTTAAAATATCGTTGTTACCTGAAGCCCATGGCACATGGATTTTCGGGGTAAAAAAATTCTCCTGTTAAGCTGCTACAACATGGCACAAAGTCAGAAGTTAAAGGTGACCAAATGTTTTGGTGCTTTTTGCTGGCTTATTTTGGGGCGCACATAAATAAAAGGCACAACTTTTCTCCTCTCTTCTCATTATTTATGTACTACAAAAGCCTAACTTTCCAGCACTGCTCCATGCCTGCTGGCCCAGTGCAAGAAAGATCCAAATCAGCATCCAATGCTAGTAGCAGCTCTATTTACTTAACCAATGGCTTTAGTTTAGCATGCTACTTCTGAGGCGGCCACTGATGAGAGGCCAACAGTTTTCCTGGAAAAAGAAAATTACAAAGTGTTAAAAAAGAAAAAAAATAAGTTATTTATATTCATGTATATTTTCCAAATGTGTTCACAATGTTCAGAAAGTGCACATTTCAAAGTCTTGTTTCAGTACTACTAATGTCCATGACCTATATATTACAGCAGCGCTTTGCAAAATGGCATCATTAAGGAACTGTCACTGTTTCCATTACTGACTCTGTTTTGCAAGAATATAATGAATACACTGAAATTTGCTTTTAGCTAGAACTTAGCACTGATAATGTCTTCAGTACGGTGTTCTAAATATCTGAATTTATTTCTCTGTGGCAATCAGAATCGGAAAAACAGTTCGTGGTTTCACTTTTTGGCGCCCATTTTTGCACAGCAAGGATTTTCAGGAATAGAAATGAGTTTACAGCAAAGGAAGAGCCCTCAACAATAACAGCTCCACAAACCATTCCCACACTGTTAAAAACCTAAAAAATATATATATATTTAATGATTTGTGGATCCTTACATAATCAATTTTCATGATTTAACAACCAATAACGCTAATGAAATCATCATACATAAAAACAGTTTAGGTCTTAACATCAATGGTCTGACAAACATATTTAAACAAGAATATTCAGTTAAGATTAGTACTAAATTTAGCTCCTAAACTTAGCTAAATTTAGATATGCTCAACTTGATAAGTCTTTAAAAAGTCCAACTTTCAAAAAAGTCTGAAAAACAGTAGTTTCAAGTAAGTCTGGAGCGCTCAGGTACAGTGGCTAGATGTACTATCAATGTGTATGACATACTGACTGGACAAAACTCTTAAAAGAGGCAGAAGTTGAAGCACTACCTCTGAAGGTTCTTGCTTTGGTTATCTTTAAAAACGTTTCAAACTGTTACAATAACAGTGCAAGTTCATTATAAAGCCACATGACTCCATGTAGATGTTTTGTTGTAGACTGCTTTTTATTATGCCCATTGCCAGCAATGGACATCCTGCTTGGAAAATCCAACTCCTGCTGTGAAAGGTTTGGCTGAACCAAACGAAAAAAGTAATTCCAATATCAGACTCAAATGGGAACACAACACTTCATTTACAACTTGTAAAGAAGCCCTCTCCACCTACAGTCTTTATTAAACAAGGCACAAATAGGGAGTGGATGTTCCAGCAAAAAGTGATTGTCTGAATTCAACAGTCCACAGTCGTCTTCTAGTCCAGCACAATGAAACGTTTTTGCTGTCCAATTCTATGCCACGTCTTCTAGATAATCTGCAACATCACTGAACTGAGAAATGGTATGGTCTTGTGTGATGTCTTCAAGCTAGGAAACAAATGAAATCAAAAGCTCAGGAAGTATAGAAAAAAAAAAGCATTATTTCACAAAATCCTTCACATCAGGTCCTTTCATTGGGACTTCAACTCATTCAGGAGGTGCACAGACAGATCTTGGAACAAAGGATAAGGACTCCTTATGCTGGATACTAAACCAGCAGTAAATCTGCTTTATGCGTCTAGAAACAGAATTGTGCTACCAAACCGCTTATTTTTGTGTTGTTAAATCAGTATGGTACCTAACTTGGCAGGAATGCTAAGTGTAAAAATACAGAACGTAACAAATAACAAGACTAAGAAATATCTTAGAAACCCAGGAGAGCAGCACACTCCTTCATAGGTTAAAAACATAAAGAACAAATTGAAAAGAATCATACTTTATCACTGGCATTCAAGTCTTCTGTTTCCACAGAAATTTCATCTATTTCTTCACCAATACTGATATCACTTTTCTCTGAGCGATGGCTGGCACTGAGAAGAAAGAATTAGAACTTTCTTTTCAAACGTCCAAGCATTACATTTATATTCATAGCAAGTTAAATATGAAGTTAAAAACCCATAATAACTAAAGGCCTTCTACCTAGAAGGAGACATGATAAATACTTGCTTATGCCTCAGTCCTACAGTTTACAATAATAATATCTTGATTAAAAGGATGAAGCTCTTAAATATTCATTACTGACTACTCAAGATGCTTTTTTTTTTTTTTTAAATGGAATAACTGCTTAGTAGTGTTAATTAAGCAGTAAAACATCTCTAAGTGCATGGTTTAGGAAAAGAAAAACCAGTTAATAAGCAACTTAAAGTTAGACAGTATCTTAAAGTTAACATCAGGCTTTTAAGTAACTCATTAAAACCTACGCCAAAGCAATGCATTTTGCTTTTTTTTTTTTTCCTCCTTAAAAAGATTTCTAAATATACTTGTATAATTAGAAGTTGTATGCTACACAAATTGAAGTTTGGAGGAGTTCAGAGATACTGGCAGGGTCCAGCACTAGCAACAAGCCAGGACGTGAGTTAATTTAAGTATGTCAATGGATACGTTTAGAATATATGAAATACTGAGCTCCTGCAATATCATCTCTGTCTTACCTGTTGAAGTCATCAGCGTACTCATCATCATCTCCATTTCCTAAACAATTTTTAGAAGGTATTAATAAAAAGAACATTATTTTTCAGGAAATGCAAATGAAGAATCAAAACTTATCCGGTTATTTTTTAAAAAGAAGCATTCAAAACTTTTCCTTTCTTAGGAACCTAGACAACAAAACACATCATCTGATATTAGAAAAGTATGGAATAAATCAAATTTTTATTGCATGCAGAAAATACTGGTCTGCATACAAAACTCAAAAGTTTTTACTTCTCTGTATTTCTTCTGATCTGATCTTGCTCCCAACTCCAGTAGGTCTCTCAATGTTTTCCAACAAAATAACAGGAGATGAAGATCCTCTTTCGTTATGTATATTTCATTTTCTCAGATTCCTCTAGGAGGCTGGGCCAGAGCTTTGAGTTGAAAATGTCGAAGCTTAATTGTGCTTAGCTGTTACTTACCTAATTCTAAAGATCCCAGTTTTGCATTCACCAAGCGCAGGTCTTTTAAAACAGAATTTCTATTTAAATCTGTAGGAAAACCAAAGCAAACCGTAACAGAAATTTAGCTCATAACTACAAGTTCCCATTTGTACAATCTATTATAACCATTACTTTATAGTAATTTTATATAATTTTACAATATATCATAGTTGTATTACATTCAACTTTCAAGTCTGAACCGTGCTAACATTTAAAGACATGAACAACAACAATAGCCAATCTCCCAGCATTCAAGACGTTTTTGCAAATCTCCCTAAATATCTTTATAGAATTCATGCAAAAAATGTGGTAAAAAGTTAAAAATGGACAGTAGGATTTTAAACTCTTGTAAACTGCTTTACACAGAAAATGGAAGCAGGTATTTTGTGCTCCAAAATACAAGATGTGTCAACGTGTCAGAACTTGGCAAAAAAACAGTATGCTATCATTCAGAAATGAGCATTAAAAACAAAGCACATTCCAAACAGATGGGGGCCACCTACAGGCAACTTATATCCAAATATATAGACTATTCATTATGTTATGGGAAATATCTCCTATGTTCATCAAAACACAAAAAGATGTGAAAACTTACCATCGGACTCCTTTAGCAAAGGTGCACCAGTCAGAGAACTTAACCCACTTTTCAGAGGTGGTGCATCAGAAAGGGATGCTAGACCTTCTGCTTTATTGGAATCAGTTTTCCTAGAACAAACCAAAGAAGTATTCCACAGAGCTGGAAAATGCATGCAAGTGACTTTCTTTTCTGTTATTTATTCAGTTGTCATAAAATTAGAACAGCCATATGGACAGCAAAAAGAATAAAGGAAAAAGACCAACCATTTTGCAGTCTAGGAACAGTCATTAGCTAGCACAAGTGTCAAGCAAGACATTCACCAAGGTCACTTTCTCATCTATGCAAAGGTTTCTGCCCGACTTCTTTCTCCAACAGAACACCCACACCTTCTTTAGCATCATCATTTTTAACAAAGAGTTTTTTATTATATACAAGTGTAAACAAAGTCAAAAGAAGAAAGATTCAGATATACACAGACACAAGTCAGGATTTAGGCCAGCTTAGCTTAAGGTCTGGTTAAACTGTTTGTTCTCAAGGGCACTCAGCCCAACAGAAGGGAAACTTCTCAGTTATAGCAAAATACGTCTCACCACCACCAGTTAAAGTTCTCTTGGCTACTACTCATTCTGCTCATATAATTGAAATATCAAGTTCAAATTGAAAAAAAAAAAAAAAAAGAAAGAAAGAAAAAATAGAAATTGCAAAACAAGAAAAAACCATTATTAAAAAAGAGACCATGATTTTCACATTTGATACTGCCAGACTTGTTTATTATTCTGATTGTATTCCTATAAACACTGAACAATATCATCTGAACCGTTCGCTGTATCATTATATCTAGGCCATCAAAATGCCATGTAATTTTAACACTTAAATTTTGAACACTGAGTCAGAGATATTGGGCCAGCTCTTAATCAACCCTTACTAACTGCTCGCTACCTTCCTTCTACAAAGAATCCTTCTTCCAGGGGCAAAAGAACTTATGCTTTTTGTGTACCAATTAATGCTGGTGTCCCTCCTAACCACTCTTTCAGATTCAGGTGCACCAGCACAACACAGATTTATTTCATCTGAAAAATCTATTTATTTTTCTTTTGCTGTAGAGGAGATGCCAGGACACTAAAAGCAACAGGCTGAAAAAAAAAAAACAACAAACCAGCTCTGTTACAGTTAGTCATTAACTCATTCACTACTATTTGCATATTTAACAAGCTTTATTATGGAACATTACTATAATAGCTAAATCACAGTAATATTATGATGTACAACAGTCAGGGGGCTGTGACTTTACTACTTTTCCCAAAGGGAGTTTATCCACTAAGAAAATCCTCATTAGATTTTCAATATTCATCATTTAAACCTATTTCATGGAATCACAACCTTGTGTTATGATGGTTGGTTAACAGCTACTTGACACTTTTGAATAAGGAAGAGTGAACGCACCGATAATTCCAATAAGGAAAAGGAAAAGTGAACTCACACAGTGTGTAACACATTGTATTTTCCATAGAAAAATGAGTGCCATTCAAGAAAAAAATAAAAAATCTGTTCTTTATATATATCCCATGAAAAACAAATAATAAACAATCTTTTTCTTAGAGTCCAGTAACTTACTATAAAGAAACAGCAAAAGAACACCATGAAATAACGTTCCAGCTTTTCTCAGTAGATAGTTAAACAAAGCTCCAAAATAACCCACAACTCTGAGAAGAACACACAAAGATAAGTTGCAGAGTTCTGTAACAAAACTACTGTACAATTCAATCACTGAAAAATACCGTTTGAAGCAAGAACCAGTGACCAGATCTGGCCACAGAAAAAACAACTTGTTAAAAACAGAACAGCACACAATAAGAATTGCGGTGTGAAGAGGAAACCCTCAGTGGTAAGGAAGTGTTATTTATGCTTACAGTTAACATATTTGCCAGATATTTTGTATTCCTTACAAAGTTATACAAATATCTAAAGCACTACCTTTCTCATTTTTCATTTCTTTTACTGTTGGTCACAACTGCAGCTCCAGTGCAACAAGAAACACTGGTGCCTGTAACTCACGCGTGTTCATTCCACCAAAGAAATAAGTCGGGGACATTATAGGGCAAAACCAATGCACCTCAGAGCGATACAGGTTTTTCTCTCTGGTACATTCAAGAGATTAGAGCCAAGCATTTCAGAAACAAAATAGTTCATGTGCATTTACAAAGGGGGAGCAATCGAATGCCAGCTAGCTCCTGAAGGTGTGCAAGCTTACTGAGCACAAAAGAAACCTATGTCTCTCCACACCACTTACCAGCCATAAGTTCTTTCTGGTTTGGGTATAGGATCATCAAAAAAAGAATCTCCCTCTATATCATCTTCATCCACACCTGGATCACTTTTTTCTTTGGTATTTAAGTCTTTGTTTTGCAACTGAGGATCTAGTTTTGTTTCATTAGGCAGAAAATGAATGCTTCTTTTGCTGGCTTCTCCTGACGAGACACTCGTATCGCTTTGAGTAGCTTCAGTAACCTTAAAGATAAAGAAAACAGACCTCACTGAAAGAAAAGATAATTTCTCTTCAAGAAAACCCATATGAACTGTTTTGATTTCTTAAAACACTGCAAGCAGTAGTATACATGTATCATAACATTAACCAAACACTACTCTTCAAAAAGTTCTTTAGATGTTACTGGCACTCCTCTATACTCATCAGAAATCATACAACAGAAAAAAGTTGTTAAATCACTTTAGAAAATTTCTTTGTTGTTACTGTCTGTTAAAAAAAGTTTGTTCTATCCCTAGCATGATTTTATATCTAGATGAACTCTACTAAAAGAGCAATCCTTTTTGAAAGATCATCAAATGAAGAAATCTACATACATGCTACTTCTTAAGTTCTAGCTTTGAATACATTTTTAGAGCATGTGACATGATTTTTTTAATTAGTGTTACTTTGCAACTCCTCCATAAACAATTTCTTTTGAGTTAAAATCATCAGTTCCAAAATAAATCAATTTAAACTCAAGTAAATGACACCATCTTAAAAAAAAAAAAAAACAACAACCACTTTCAACCTAACTTCAAAAATATTCACGGTTTCATGCAAAAGAAGGCTTGCCTTATATTGTAATTTCACTAAGAGACTACAGATGTGAATTGCATAGTTGAAATGGCTTGGAACATAACAAGCCAGAGGTTCATATCCTGACTCTCAGTTTTCAGTGACAGACCTGCTTACTTGAGAATGCTCTAAACCAAGCTGAAAACCCACACCAAATGGCAATCCATGAAGTAATAGTCAAGTGTAACATGACCGCAGATAATTAGTATTGGAAGAGAAAAAGCGTAAAGACTAAAAGGATATAAACAAGGTATCTAAGAATAGGTAACTTTCAGCCTTCCAGTCATGCTCATGGCTCAGTTCTATAAATACTCATGCTTTTAAGGACTGCTCTATATATAGTACAGTCAACTAATACTCCTATCTTTGCAAATCCTTGTGGCCCAGTGAACAACATTTAAATTTATGTAGATATCATCCCGGTGCAACAAAATGAAAATGAAAGCAATGAGATCTATTTACTTTACAAGCTCTACACACCAACAACAGCAACAATGAAAGCAAAACCAATGATGTTGTTTGTTCCAAATAAGCAGCATACAGGCTGCACTGACCAAAGGTGGTTTTGTGGGATGTTTTGGTTTTGATTTTGTTTAAAAATCAGCTATTATCTTTCACTTAAAAGGCTTAAGAATTTATACTTTCCACTTGTCTCCTTCCATCTACCCCTAACTAATGTGTGTCAGGCTGCCCAGCTGCAACCACTACCAAATAGGTACAAGTTAACAACTGCATTGCAAAAATCTCCATCAAGGACAAATGAGTAAAACACATTCCACACTTCAGGTCAAGTCAACCTTGAGATACATGTGTGCATACATACACACAAATTGAAGGTGAAGTATGGATTACTTATGACTTGTAATCTCATCCTCAGTAGTACTTCTCGGCTAATTTAACATCAACCTAAGACAGAAGTATTTCAGTAATACTGTTGCTTCATACCTAATACTGATATTTAAATCAACATTTGGATTTATTTCCCCTAAGCTTGGGCCAAGCAAGAATTATCTTCTCCTATAGCAAAAATGAATTGGTTAAAATTACACTGAAAGGTCAATTACAGAAATACTAGCAGTTAAAGAAACAATCAACAAACAGCAATTAAAGTGGCTTAGTCTTGAAATGAAGCTGCTTTTCTAATGGTCTCATTTTCAGGTTTTGCATGGCACACAACTGAAGAAACGGAATAAAATGAAGCAGATCCAAACTGTTTTTTCTTTTTATCTTAATCACTCCCCTCTTCCAAATAGATCAAATAATGACATCACCCATGCAGTGTTATATTTCTCAGCTTTCAGTGACATGTTAGAAAGCTTCTAAGCTGCTTCCAGTTATCTTGGAGAAAAAAAAAAAAAAGCTTCAAACTTATGCTCAAATTACATTAATTAACAAACTTGAGTACTTAAGTCATTTTTTTTGTTGGATAGTTGGTATAAACAAGTGCCCTATCAGTGCCATACATTTTTCCATAAGTTCATGACCTATGGAACTGTTCCAGTTAAATGTAATGAAAGATAAAGGTCTGCAAAATGTTAGTTTTGTGTTAACACAAAAAGACTGAAGAGAAAGCAACAGGCCCCAAGGGAAAGACAGTTGTATCCTTATCAGTTCCAAACAGCAGCTGGCCAACTGACCAAAAAGACGACAAGTAGCCCCACAGTATCTCACAGACATTTGTGTGCTGTTACATACCCAGCCAGATAGGTACAGGACTTAGTACAGAACAGCCAAATGTTCTCAGAACGTGGAAAGGACAGTGAAGTGCTTATGAACAGAGCCTACTCTGTAAGAACCCCAGAGAGCTCTTTTTGCTGCCTAGAAATCATCTGTTAGTATCTAGGGTAGGGCCACAAAAACGATCCAAAGGTTGAAACACCTCCCCAGCACACTGAGAGAACTAGGGATGTTCAGCCTGGAGAAGAGAAGGCTTTGGAGAGACCTGATAGCAGTCTGTCAGTACCTAAAAGTGGGAGAGGGGCTCGAAGAAAGATAGATACATACTCTTTAGCATGGTCTGTTGTGATAGGACAAGGGGAAACAGTTTCAAACTAAAAGAGAGGAGATTTAGATTGGATATAAGGAAGAAGTTATTTTACCATAAAGGTGGTGAGGGATGGAACAGTTTGTTCAGAGAGGTGATGGAAACCCTGTTCCTGAAGATACTCACGGTAAGGCTTCATCAGGCCCTGGGCAACCTGATCTAGCTGTGGTGTCCCTGTTCATTGCAGGGGAGTTGGACTAGAGACGACCTTTAAGGGTCCCTTCCAACTCAAAAGGTTCTATACTCTTTCTTCCTGTAAAGGAAGGCATAAAACACAAGCTAGCATATTCTCTGAGCAGACGTTTTACCTGCTCAGACTTTTAATCCAAACACTTCTTCCACTTAAAAAATCCTTTATAACTTGGAATCTGAGCATAAAGTAGTAATAACAAAGAGAAATGAAAGAAAACTGCTGATTATTTAAGTAAATGCCATTGTACCACTGGAGTCCACTGTTTTGCTTCTCCTGTATACTTTTTCATGACACACAAACCATCTTACCTTACTCGGTATGGGGTGTGTACTTGATCTTCCATCAGACGATTTTGATGTGGAGCACAGGCCATCACTTAGAACTGGGGCAACCTAAAACATGCCACATAAATACTTATTAGAAATACATTGAATTATGTCATAGTACCATCCATCAGAAACAAGACTACTGTTCCTGCTCACACTGTATGCAAGCTGTGACACTGTGCTGCTGTGTTAGGAAGACTATGACAACCACTTGTGAATTGGCTCGTGGACCCACTATATCTGGGGTGCAAAGGATTTTCTTTCAAACCACAATCACAACAGACACTAATAAAATGCTACTGGTTGGATTCCATTAATTTAATTAATAAGTATTTGTATAATCAATGGGTATTAAGATGTATAATCAATGGATATTAAGATGTTATAATCACAAAAAGAACAAGAGAGTTAGGCAAAGTAGATTAAGATAATAAGAGAGAATAAATGGAAGGCTTACCCATATGCTAGGCTCACCTACAAAAAACACCAGAAGAGGGGATCTCCAGAAGAGATCCTTCCCCTCTGGTAGCCAGCTCTTAAATAGGTCCAGGAGGGGTGGAGCCTGGCTCCACCCCTTCCGGCAGCACAGGTGAATTGCCTTCAGCTGTGCTCCTCTGGCTGACTCAAGGCTCACCTCAGGTGATCAATCAGAGGTTCAGGCCGTGACTCAGCAGTTCCCATACACTATTATATACTCCATTAAAACAGCATTCTCATTGCCTTAAGATATTTCAATACCTTCATATGTTTAGCTTTTTAAAATATTTGTTTTAAGAACAGCTACAAAGCTATAAAAAAGCCAATTCTAATTCTACTAAGACCTGAAAAATCTAGAAGTACAAAGATACAATAGGTAACCATTAAAGGTGCTAACTAATTACACTAGAAATTAGAAAAAAAATGGTAGAATGTTCTGTATCACTTTTCTGGGGTCACCCTATGCTAGTATGTGGTGGCAGGAAAGAAGTTAAAGGGTAGCATGAAAAGTAACTTTCAGCATTGTTTTCTGATAAATTACATTGAAAGCTTTTCCTAATATACTAACTTGAAAGGCTTGAAACAATGTAAGTATTTTTCAGTTCATTTCTCATCAATGAAATAAAAATAAAGGATTATGAAGAAAGAAAATACATTAACTGCACTTACTTCTTCATTGCCTGATATCTTTTTCTGCTGACACATTCTAACAACCTCCAGCAATAGGGGACCACCTGCAGTACCTTCTTCTGTAATTCCCAAATCTCGAGCTAAGTTTTCTCGATCATCCAGACCATTTAGCTGTGAGGAAAAAAAAATCAAAAAAGAAATCACAACACAGAAACTGTCAGGAAACAGTATGTATTTTGTAAAAAATCCTAAAGCTTGTTGGTCATATTTAATAGAGCAATAATCTGACTAACCAGTGATTATTGAAGACTTCCTGTTGCATATGGAATAAAGTCACAACAGTTATGAAATCATTCACGTCTTATCTGCACATGAATTTAATCACTGATCACCCAAAATTGTTTTAAACACAAGAACACTACCAAGCACACCATGGAGGATAAAAAGATAGCACTCAGACTGGGACGAGTATAGAAAAATAAAGCAAAATCTTTCAGCATGATTCACAGCAGTCTTGGTCAACTTTTGAAACTTTGGCCAAGTCCCACACATGCACTGCAAGAGATGCCTTCTAGAAAGAAGAGGCTTTTACTGGAAAAAGGTAGCGCTCCAAAGAGCACTGGATGCCTTTGTGCTGCAAATAAGAGACTCCTCCCAAAAACAGTTAGCAACATAGGAGAACACATGACTGCTTCTGTTCAGTAGTATAAATCTGAATCTTAGCACAGATGTCTTCTAATGCAATAAATGTAGACAAGGAGATTTGATAAACAGTGTATGTGATTTAGCATGATTAAGTACCTAAAAAGAAACACTGAGTTCTGAGAAACAGCAAAATATCATTTGTACAGCCTCAGTTTTGGGTTGTTCTAATCTATGCTCATATGTTCATATGACCATCTCTGTAGTCATTTTTTGCCAAAACAATAAAATCAATAACTAAGTGAAGAAAAAGAAAATTACTCTTCAAATAAGAATATTTTTTTTATTAAACAAATTAAAAAGAGACTTTAAGAATAAAAATGAATATGAAATGAAAAGAGAAATTAATCATTAAGTGGAACCATTTCAATCCCCAAATCTATTATGAAAATGTTTACATCACAAAGATAAAAAGAAATTGGTTTGACAGAAAAGCTACCTCAGTATCAAAAACCTAAAAGCAAACACTTTGATGACAAAGTCCTTTGTCCCTCTGAAATTTCTCTCAGACTAGATATCTATTTGATTTTAATTTTCACATACAAATATTAAGTTCACAATATGTCATGGTAAGATTATAGAAAAGTTCTCTCGTATGCTCTGCCATAGTTTTCCAATAATTATTAATTGGTTAATTTAAATTTAACACATCAAACATTGACTTTTGAAAAGTAATAATCATTCATATAAGCACATTTAAACTTGTCTTTATGGCAGAGCATACCTTTTACATGCTAAACATTTTATAAAAATTATAAGAATAAACACAAGCAACTGGCATGCACTCCAAAGGATCAGCATCACACAGAAGCAAAAAAAAGTATCTTACTGTGCTTGATTCAGGCTGAAAAACAGCCAGCGTAAAATCAAGATTGAAAAATCGTAGAAATTCTGCAACAAGACCTGCCACCACACGACCTACAACAGAAATAAACAAATAAAAACATGTAAAAATTAAGGAGAAATATACCAGACAAACAATACTTCAAAGTTATAATACAGACGTGGCTTCAAGATGAACAACTACACTGAATCAGCACTTCTACGAACGTCTTTAGACATTCAAACTACCATCTCACACGCAACTCCACATCATACCCAATTCATGATTTGTGTATCAGTTCCTTCATTTCTAACTCAGCTATTTTAACTGAATTATGTAAAGCCAGAAATAGTGCAGGGAAAAAAAGGAATTGTGTCCAAAATTCAAGTATAGGGAAGTATTGGGGTTTCTCTTTGTTTTCGCTTTGCTTTCATCTGTTCTGATCTTTTAAAAACATGACTTTGGCATTTTTCTTATGTGTGTTCAGTACTGTACCTCTGCAACCTGTTTTCACTGCCTAGAATGGCTTTACTCATCACAAAATATTAACTCAAACACACCAGTCACCTCAGTTATAAATTAAACTTCAGCAAAGTTAACTTTAAAAATTCTAGATTGTAATGTGTTCTGAAGCCAGTCATAATAACTACATTTACTTGATGAGAATAAAAGCATACTTTATATCAAGAAAGATATATAAAAAGGGGCCCTTCTCACCTTTCAATTCAATCCTTTATTCACTGTTGTTTTTAATTTTGAGAGACGTGCTAACCAGAACTTACCATCTTTTGTACTCAAAAAATTTTTCAGGTTTTCATTTACCAGAGGTGCTTTGTTCTGTCAAAAAGCAAAACACAAATGTTAATTAACAACATTCTTGTGTTATTAAGAAGTTAAAAATATTGATAATAATAATAATAAAAAAAAAAAAAACACAACAAATTGGGGTATGCTCTTACACATAGCTCATGGTACATGTAATTCACTTCTCTGAATTCTACTTTTGTATTGATCCCATCATCTGCATAAGCTGTAAAGCCATTGTCTCAGTATTTCTTTATAAAAGCTAAAGAGCAGGAAGAACTACCACGATGTTATAAATAGCATACTGATTTTTATTTATTTGATAATTAAAAAGGTACGTTAATCAATTAACTTCCCAAGTTGCTCCTTTAACAATAATGTCAAATTTAAAGAAATTTGATCACACCTAAAAAGTACTTATTCACAAATCATCTAGACAAAGGATGCTGGTTAGCAGTTCAGAAATCAGTGCAATTTTTTATTACTATTAATTCAAGGACCTTTTAACACATTATGAAAACATTCTTTCCCACTGTTAGATTTGACTTCAACTGTGATTTTTAAGCAGAGAGAAATCAATTTGCTGTGTTTAGATTAGGCAAAATTGTTCAGGAATTTTTCAAATGAAATTCTAATTGTCATTCTTAATATATGAAAACACCCTGGATAGGAACCTAACTGAATGTAAGGAAAGGTTCTGTTAGAGGCAGCACATACAAACAGCGATAGTTAACATACACATGAAAGCGCCTCACCAATATTTAAAACAACCAAACCAAAACAACTTTCCTAATATTTAGGAATTCAGAATAGAGATAAGCATTAATATACTTTCAGTGTCTGGAGCGTAAAATTAAAATGTCACGATAATTTTAAAGGTTCTGAAAAGGAGTGAACTGAGATGAATTGCAGCAAGTCTCTCTCTTCAGCCCTACTGCTCTTCAAACACTCTGGGAGGGCTTTTTTTAAGGGTACTCCACACTATGCTGAAACTTGCCACAAGAAATGGCACTGCGTCACTCTTCCATTATTTCTTCCTCAGCAACCTTACGTTATGTTTCTGACATATGGAGTCTCATGCCCTAGAATAACTACTCATGCTTCCCATCCTTACCAGTGTCACAATAACATCTATTGCAGTTGTGTGGTTTTCCAGAAAGAGCACAACCAACTACCAGCAGAGGAAAGGGCAATTTTCAAAAAGGAGAGCCTGGATAAACAGCTCTCAAAGTGCTCTCCTGTGTAGGTTTAGAGAACGAACAGATATAGGAAACAAGGCAATGCTGGCAGTCGAAAGGGCCACAAAACTTCTCAAAACAGACCACTGTAACACCTTACTAATAATAACATCTTCTGGCAGAAAAGATGATTAGTTACTCTAGTCAAGTGCAGCAGAGCAACATAAAAGCAGCAGTGCTAAACAGTTTCCTTTGAGGCTACACTCTTACAGTAAAAGCTACATAACACTTTGAATTTCTAAATACTGGAAAGATATTTTTTTTTTAAGCTCTTATGCAGTGATACATAATTTTCTCTTGTTATACTTCACAAATATAAAGTATTACAGTAATTATTTTTAATTATACATGAAGAATTGTCAGGAAGTCAAAACTGAAACGTCTAAAATTCTCTTACCTCTACTTTCTCTTGTTCTTCTAATGCCAAAAAAACAGCTGCTCGCAACTCTGCCTGCCAAGTTAAAAAAAAAAAAAAAAATGGCATTTCTACAAGCACTATTTTACCTGTGCAAATAGAATGCTAAGAGCCAGAAAGTATCTTAACATCTATTTGTTTCTCCTCGAGCAACTTGGTATCAATTGTAAACTACAGCAATACAATTAAGACATTTAGGATTACACGCAACGTGATTTGAGCGTGAGAAAGCTTTTGGAGAAGCAATGGGGCAGGAGGGATTTGATGCACAACTTCCCAAATTCTTCATTCTCAAGAAGATTCTAAAACACATCACCTCCTGTTTGTTTCCCTTGAGAGTGAGAAATCCAACTTTTATTGGAAGCTTTGAAACACCTACCCTTAATTTACAATTCTTCCAGGAAACACAGACACATAACTTACAATTATACTTTCTTCAAAGTCTGTGCTAAATTATACAAATTCCTATGACTTCTTGTCAGATCACACAAAGCAACACAAATTCTCAAGGAAAAGAAAGCCTGACTCCAGTGATTTGAGCATACTAAATGAATAACACGCATTACATTTGAGGAAGTAGTCTGATTAAGAATTAATAACAGTGGAAAACATTTTGAAGTGGCCAGCAGATTAACTGTGCCAAGCAACTGTGCGACCATAAAAGACACTGCCACTCTGCATGCCATTTTCCTCAGGAGCAAAGGAGAAAAAGGTTTTCAAAGACCAATTTGTCTTTGAAAATACCTAAAATACCTAAATTTAAATGTCTAAAATTAAAAACAATTTGAAGAGTGGCTGGATTTTCTTATGTAATTAGCAAAGCAAAAAAAGTAATCATCATTGGATACCTTTCTAAAAGAAAAAAAAAGTCTTGCAAAAAATCTAAGAATTCTCATAAGAAATAGGATAGGATGCCTACCAGTTGTATGCAGTGCTCACTTAGACAGCTGTCCTGTTTTCACAGGGTGTTTTCCATTGTTGCCTAAGAAACATTTTATTCACAGTAGCGGTAAAGCACAACAAAGCTTAGTATTTGAACTTCCTCACCCTGATCCTTTCAAAGCCTTCGATAAAACGGCGTTATGCTGTAAGCTGTACCAGGATTATGGTCTGTAAGTCAGATCTTGACAGCCACAGTGACTGCAAATCTATCATCCTGCAATCCACTAAAGCCATAGGCTTCTTTTCCATCCTGTGTGCACCAAGTTTCAATAGACATCACTACAAGCTTTTAGCAAACAAGAGCTCATATCAATGACAAAGGAATTAAAAGGCACTGAACTTAGCTAAAGTAAGGCTGATACCGTATATAACAACTGCTGCCTGTAAGCAGTTGGGAAATACGTGGGTCAGTGTTTCAAAATCAGAGTTAATTTCCACTTTTCCTACCATGAACAACTCAGCAGACAGCACCTCTTACTGACTGCTGTTGCAGTGTAAAAGCAGTGGCCCAGGAAAACATCCTTCCTGCACTGGACTTTCTCCTGTTCTGAGTCTAGCTAAGTTAATCCTGTCCCAAACAGTGAACCTTACACATGTACCTCAAGGATCGTGCAGGAAAACATCTCTCAGGGTTCCCAGACAGAAAACAGTTCTTACTACCTCAAGACCTCCCCAAATAAACAAATACATTTTTAGATGGCTTGTCTAAAATTTTCATCTGATTTGGGAGTACTCTTTGAAAACCAGCAAGACAGCAAACACCTACCTCAACAATTAATCTGAACCAGTGCACTTGTAAAAGCCACCCACAACAGCTTATGCAGCAAACACTGGATGAAATGGCTGCAATAGATTGTCCAGGACTGAGGAATGCCACAGGTCTCCCCTGCATCTCAGATTGCCAACATCCATTTGAAGCTTTTAAATATCTCCAACATGTAGGTACATAGCATGCATCTAGAGGATTTTACTATATGAAATAGAAGCATATAAGCATAGAGAGACCGAGGTAACCTGCTTGTAAGCAAGCAAACACAACATCAAGCTGTCTAACCACTAGTGATTACTCCAGGCTTAAAAGTTATAAGCACCAGGCTAAAAGCCTGCATTAGCCTGTGTCCAAAGCTGGTATCAAACTGGAGACTGCAGCTTCTTTACCTCTGTCCTGTCACTCCCCACCAGCAAAGTTACCATCCCTAAGCAGAACCAGTAATTTTCATGCTAATTCCTCATTCATTTAAGCAGAAAAGACTTCACCATAGCAGCCCTTATTGGCTAAGTCATTAAATTTGCTGGCAATGCTGGAAAAAGAAAGATGGAGAAGCCATACTATAGAGGAAACAATAAACATTTAACTTAAAAATAAGAAAATAAGAAAAAATAATGTTTCCCCTTGATTTGAAAAAATGAGTTGATTTTCTAATATTAATTGCTTGAAAAGGACAGAACAGAGGATGATTACACTGTAGTGACCAGCAAATTGATTGTGACAGTTAACAACCCAAAAATATTTTAAAGCATTATGGCCTAAAATAAATGGAAGACGGGAAAACAAATGTGATAATTTTACTGACCTACACATGAGCAGTTAACACATCATTTTTTTTTTTAATAGTATTTTTACTTTATCTCACAACACATTATCAGCCAGCACCACAGCCATGCAGGGTTTGAACCAAATTAGCAAGAACAGCATCAGCTGGCCAACACATAACTAGTCATGTGACTTTTGCAATGCTTTTATTCCTCAGATGTGTAGAAACAGCAAGTTCCAAGGATGCTGTAAAATTTCAGGCACCATAATTTTTTTCCCCCAGAAGGAAAGATACAAATCAAAATAACAAAGCAATGCTATGAAAGCACAGTGGTTCTTCTTCCTCACATGACAACCAATGAAAGGTGTCCCTACTCATGGCTGGGGCATTAGACCCCTTAGGTCCCTTCCAACCCAAACCATTTTATGATTTTATTGTAGCTTCTATATGAGAATGATCACATCCTCTTCAAGACAGACGATCATCTGTATTTATACAGCATGCCTCACATGTATAGCATCAGTTATTATTTTTACTGAAGCACAAATATTCCAAATTTTGTTTACAGAACTCACCAGGAAGCAGTTTTACCCATCAGTTTCATTCCAATCCTTAATTACTGCCATACATGTAACAAGCACACACAGATGCTGCAGCTTAGGGAAAGGACAGGGAATTTTCAACTGTAAATAGCAAATATATTTGCCTATTTCCTAGTTTCCATAGTATGATTTCATTAAATACTCCGATGCCCAAAATCTATGACAAACAGACAAGTCTGGAACAGATTTTTGAGCTGTCATACAAGTAACTGATTTCCTCATCCAGCCAAATCATTTACATCTTTATTAGCATACCCCAAAGTTAATTGAAAATAAGATATTTGTCAACTATAATCCACTATGAAACTATATAGTATGAAAAAATAAAGGTAAAGTTTCTTGCTAAAAATTACTCAGTTACTGCTTGCTCTCAAATATATTATCTGGCAGCTTGATACATTTTAGCCACTGAAATAATTCAGTTAGTACTCCAATCTTTCCAGAGCTGTCTTTACCTCTAGTATATTCCTCATACTAATTCAGCTATATTTAGGTAACATAATTTATTGTTCAGTGTATCCACTTCAGCAAATCTCAAACATAACTACCTACATTAAGCCTTCTAACCTCATCTATCTTGAAAAACAGCCACTACTCATTTTCAAATATAAAATAAACAACCATTTGACAGCAATACAGAGTGCAACTCTGCTTAATTTAGTTTAACAAAAAGACAATGGTTTTGGTATTTACACTTTTATTGTTATTATTTAATGCACGGTATAACCTAAACTAAGAGCTAACCTCTTAAGGACATTCACTCATCATGAGTTCTTCTGGAAGGCTGTTTGTCACGTACAACAACTTCTACAAGTCATTAACGTTATCAATCAACTCACAGCTAACGACCCAGCACACCAGTTAAGGTTTACAACCAAGAAAAACAAAATAATCACATACTAAACTCAACAGCACTAATTATAAGCATGCCAATTATTAATCGGTGACTCCCGATATCAAAAAGTTCCCATTTCTGGGAACTGGGTTTGCTATTTTAAGGATAACATATATCATGTCAGATACTACTACTTCCAGCATTATATAATAATGAAGACTACAATTAAAAAACTGACATAAAACTCGGAACTGTTAACAGTAGTTCAAAAGCTTCCATGCTACACAAGGCAGGAATTAGGTCACAGCAATCAGGTGAGCTTTAGTGTTCTAATGTGCTTCTGCTTTTATTCCTCTTGAAGTTACTATGACTTCACTATCACTATACTTCTACTGATTGATACTACCTAAGAAGTTAGCAGGTGGACCAGAAGGCCTACTCTGATACCTAGTCAAAAGAAAGTCACCCTACTCAAAACACAATTGCATGATCTTGAACCCTTCATCTCCCTACGGAATTTAAAAAAGGATAATGCATTTAAAATGCAAGTGCAATACGTTTATAATAATGCTGTTTTGTTGAAAAGGATCACAGATAGCCAATACTTACTGGGCTTCTAAGTACACATAGAAGGATGTTCTCATTTCCATCTACTATTTCAGCTGTTCATATATTCCCGGAATACCAATAATGACTGCCCACTTGTTGAAATGCTCGAAGTAGAATTCTGTGGATAAATGCCGCCACCCTTAATTTGAAATCCAAGCTTCTTTTCTCCTCGACCTTACAAGGAGATTCAACAGTTCTCATGCTTTGATATCCGCATGGCTCTTTGCTGTATGTGACAGTTATTGCTCGAAGCTTTGAGTGTGAATCCACAGAACATGCTTTCATATCCTTGCTGACACAAGTCCAGGCTAAAGGCCTGGAAACCAATTACATTCCATTGCAACACTCCACGTTTTTTAACACAGCATTAGTAGGCAAACAGCACATCCAGACCCTTTTTACGTTCAGCCTACCCCAAAACGCAGCTCCACCACCCCGCGCACCTATGTTTAAACATCGAGCCTCCAGGACTCCGGTTTGGCGTCTTTTCTCGTGGAAGCAGAAGGAAATTCTGCGAACTCTGTCCAGCATGGCTCGGAAGCTTGGGCAGCAGCAGGAAAGCGGGTACTCCGGCGGCCACATAACACCCGCTGCACGACAGACAGGGCACAGCCGGGCCGCGCTCCGCCTCCCCGCAGAGCAGCCCGCCGACCGGGCCCACAGCGAGCGCGCAGTGGCTCCATTGCGAGAGGTGGGCGCTGGACACGGCTCCTCGGACAGCCCCAATCCGAGCAGACTGGGGGCAGTGCCGGGAAGGCGGGCGCCGCCGCGAAGCTGTGACAGCCGGCGCGGGCCTGTGCCGGCTGGAGGGGACGCGGCCCGCCGAGCACCCCCGCGCCAAAGCGGCAGCCGCGGACCGGCAGCGCACCCCACGCACCGCCGCGAGAACACTGTACACCGAGGAGAGGCCTTCCGCTCGCACCTTGATTTTATTGAGCACCCCGCTGCTTTCCAGCGTCTGCACCAGCAGGTCCCGCAGCTCCGTGTCCTCCTCCGCCGCCGCCGCCATCTTGTTTCTCCCTGACAACCGCCCAAACCGCGCTAGCGGCGGGACGGGCCCAGCAGATTCGCCGCCGCCGCCGCGGGAGGCGCTCACCCAGCGGCGGGTACGAGGACACGGAACGCGGCGGGACGGCTGTCACCTCCGACAGCGGTCTCGGAGAGATGTAGTGGAGCCCAGACCGCTCGGTTCCTTTGTGGCCGCGGCGCCTTGGAAACTGCGGCGGCGAACGCGCAGTGCGTCCTCCGCCGGGAGCGGGGCGCGGGAAGTTCAAAGCGGCTGTGACCGTTCAGCTCCGCAAGAGCAAGAGTCCGTACGCAGCCCATCAGCACCCGCAAGGAGCGAGGAGGGCGGGCTGCGAGGGAGCGCGAGCCGCCCCTCCCGCTGCAGCTGCTGCCCGGCCGTGCCCTTGGCTTTCTCGCTCCCGGAGGGAGCAGATTCCCCGCACACGCGTTCTTCTATAGCTGACCCCGCTTTGGCAGGGGTGAAAGCGCAGCTGCTGAGGGGAGGGCTTCACAAACCTGCAAGAAACTCGGCTCGAGAGCTGTCGACAGCACTCATTGAATAATAACTTGATAATCTAATTAGGGGCGTAGGGCAGCTGGGGAAGATTCTAGCACCACGTTATTATCCTTGCAAGATGTGATCGTAACACAACATAAGAGGCATCTTGACTGAAAAATTTATTTGGTGCTGGAACAGGCTGCCCAGAGAGGTTGCCCAACCATCCCTAAAGGTGTTCAAGGCCAGATTAGATGAGGCCATAGACAGCCTGGTCTAGTATTAAATGGGGAGACTGGTGGCCCTGCATGTGGCAGGGGGGTTGGAGATTCATGATCCTTGAGGTCCCCTCCAACCCTGGCCATCCTGTGATTCTGTGATAATACGCAGCCGCGAGAGTTGATTTTGAAATTTACCTATTTATTCCAGGACGAACTTCTTAATATTTTCCTCTTTAAAAGATCTCAAAAACTTAATTAAGAACTTTGGAAGCTACGACTACCCAGAGGACGTAAAAAAGCCCCGCGGATGAAGTAAGGCATTGTGGGAAGCCGATCCAATTCCAGAGGACGTGCAGCAGGTGGCAGTAATTCTGCGGCGGTCCCCTGAGAAATACTGAGCTCCCCCCCGGATGATAGAAGCGTGGCCGGGAGTCCTGCAGTTTGGAAGCACTTAACATCTTTCACCTCAGCACAAAGTTGAACTCAAGTAAATTCTCAGCACTGCATTTTCAGTTTTATTCTTAAGCAGAGAGTAGTAGTTTAGTTCCAACTTCTCAAAGCCCCATCAGAAGCAAGACATAAGCGCAGAAACATAGTGCCTGCTATTACACCTACCACTTCATTCCTCTGTTAGAACTCCAAATCTAACTGAAAGATCTAAAAGGTGCTCAGAACCATTCTGTTTGGAAAATATATATATATATATATTCATCTGACTGTACCATATGCTTTGTGATAGCACAAAATAAAGAAACATTACTTTCAGAGCACTCCTCATGCCTCCTATTTCATTATGTTAGCCCATGACACCGGAGGCAGGTGAGTAGAGGCTGAACATTCCCACCAGCATTCCATTACATGTTGTACCATGCAACACATGGCAGCAGAAGAGCAGTCTGACAAAATGGTGTCTGACGTGGATGCACATATGAAGCAAAGGTGCGGAACTGATTTCTTCCTTGCAGAAAGAAATCACAACCATTGACATCCACTCCTGATGTGTATGGAGACCAAACATTGGATGTGAGCACAGTGAGGTGATGAATGGAGCATTTCAGCAGTGTCAACCACAACATGAAAGACAAGCCACATTCCAGATTGCTGGCCGCAGCTGTCACACCACAAAATGAAGAGCATCTTGACCAGTTAGTCTACACAAATTGTCTCATTGTGGTGAGTATATTGAAAAAAACAGCGTTTTGTAGCTGAGTATTTGCATAATCAAATAGTGTTATTGTGCTCTTCTTATCTGTTATAGTTTCCACATAAATAAGTGAGGCATTACTTTTGGAGTGACCCATGTACACTTTTTTTTAATTACTGAGTTTTTTTTTCTGGTTGTAGGTGTTACTGAGTGGTGCTGCAAAGTACAGGATTTAAAAATATTGTTTTAATGTAAAACAGGAAAGATTTCAGAACTTCTTAAAATCACAACACTTTTTTTGTATAGTTCTCATTTCCTAACACCATTTACCAAAAAAAAAAAAAAAAACCCACAAAAAGAAATAAATAATGAAGTTTACAAAGCATTAACCTTACCTAAGAACGCTTCCATCTTTAAATATCTCAGAAAAACCTGCTTACAGTAACTGTACTATACTGAATTACTCATAGTAATATATTGGCAAAAACACATCATTTATTCTCTGCTAAATATCACGAGTAACTTCTGACAAAGTCTTGAATTTATCTATTTATTTCTAAGACAAATGTTGCACACAATTTAGAAAAGCAGAATCAACAAATATGGGAAACTAAGGTTTTTGAATGGTTCTACTTCGGTAAAAAAATTACATCTGACTTTAATAGCAAAACGGACCATAAGCTTTGATGTCAGACAGATTTGAAACAAGATTATGAATGACTTAATTAGTCTTAATGATCAGGTACAATTTTTAAAAAGCGTTTATTGGAGTTTATTTACAGTTAGATGTTAATTTCAGTAACCCACATGAACTTTGTCATGTTTCTATGGCCAAAAATGCCATGCTACCCTGAGCCTCCACCAAAAGGCATAATGAAAGTTTCCTTGGTTCAGTGAAACTATGAAGGCATCTCAATACAGGGAGTACTGCACAGTCAAAGGGATCAGTACCCTATGAATCTAGGCTGGCAAATGAACTTCTGCCTAGCAATGTGAAAGAAAGGATGGAGACAAAACAAATAGGTAGAATAGCTAATAGAGACAAAAATTACTAAAGGTGAAATTATTCTGTCAGCCATACAAGCCTTGAAAAAGGGCCAGAACATGGAAGCACTGCTACAATAATATATTTGAACCCTGTCACTGCACTAAAAAATTGTCAGTTGTCCAGAGGAAACATGTTTTCTGTCAACTGCATAGTTGGTAAATATTACTTACCTTTCCAAGCTGACCAGCACAACCTGGAGTTAAAAGTCTGCTCACTTACTCACACTGGCTTTAGGAAAGTGTTTTTTGCAACCTCACAGATTTTCTCCCTCTCATACTACTACCTTTGTCTTTGTGGTGTCACATTAAACCCTGCTGTTCTCACTGCTTTTGACTTACTGTCCTGGCCTAAATGATCACAAGCTTAACATTTTATAAAATTACAGAATGGTTTGGGTCAGAAGGAACCATTAAGATCATCTAGTTCCAATGCTGTAGGCAGGAACACATGCCTATAGACCAGGTTGCTCAAAGCCCTATCCAGCCTGGCCTTGAATGCTTCCAGGGAGGGGGCATCCACAACCTCTCTGGGCAACCTGTTCCAATGTTTCACCACTCTCACAGTAAGGAATTTCTTCCTAATATCTAGTCTAAACCTACCCTCTTCCAGTTTAAAGCCATTTCCCCTTGTATTTCAAACCAAATGAACGGAAGGAATTAGTAACAAAGAGGATAAGTGCACCGTTAGTATAAAGACTTTATAAATAAATGGCTGAACAACTGGGTGAGTAATCATCTTCTCACACAAAACTATACACCAGAGATTGCCAGAGCTAAGCCATGAGTAACTCTGGTCCCATCTCTGTGAGACAAATGCAACTTAGGCACCAGCCTTCTGTTTCACTGTCCTGACAAAATCCTCTCAAAAAAAATACTTGATAGAAACTGCAAAGCAAAGCAAACTGTCTTAGAAGACAGTTAATCAGCAGAAGAACATTTGTTGTTTGTAAAATTCATTTCAGTATTTTAGCAACACTGCCTTCCAGCTCTCCAATACACAGAGTATTTAAAACCTATTCCACAGATAATCCCTTTTGTATTCTGCAAAACTCAGTATATCACTTTAATAAGTATTCTTCACATAAAGGGCAGGAAAGCATTTTTAGTTGTCCAAGTTTCTATCCAGCACACAATGTACCATCTCAAACTGTTTCACAGTGCCATTCTGAAGAAAGTGTTACTATCTTAAGTCTATAATATAATTCCCAAGTCCACCTTTATGGAAGTTATAGGACCACATTACAAGAGACAGACCAAAATTATGCTTACTGTTTATACAGCAATGTAAATGTGACTTGTATGCTACCATAGGAGGAAGAAAAGTGCTTTTCATGGGAAGCCCTATATAGATTTGTAACAATCAGAAAGGTCAGTGCAGTGCAAGAGCAATAAAGGAGTTGCTGCAAAGGGATTAGCATGAACAGTATGGTGTTATAAAGGAAAAGCACTCACCTGTCTCTGAAGATCTAGACTCAGAGAGAAACTCCTCAAGGGAGGAATCTCCAAAAAGATATCCTTCCCCAGTAGCAGTCAACCCTTAAAAGAGGTCTAAGTGAGGTGTAGCTTCAGCCCTTGCAGTCACACAGCTGAACTGTCCTCACCTGTGCTCCCAGGGCTGACTAGGAGCTTTCCCCAGGTGCTCAATCAGTGGTTCAGGCCATGACTCAACAGTTCCCTTACAAGGTTTAAAAAGATTCAGTAAAGTTAACACTTCTTGAGGTCTCTGAGGGAACCAAAGCCTGTATCTGGAGTTGAAAACAGAGGAAAAGGTGTCACAAAATGCTTCTGCTTAGCAAAGCAGAAAGTTGAGATGAGTGAGGTAACCATCCTCATGGAATAACAGAACAATGTTATCTCTGGTCCTCCTGTTATTGTTAACATATTTTAAAAAGCTCTTTTTGTTGTCTCCCACAGTACTGGCCAGCTTCAGCTACACTCATTTTCTCCCTACAGTAGCCAAGAGCATCTCTGTAGCTCTTCCTTGCTTTCTGTGGTCATACACTTCATTTTTTCACCTAAGCTCTAGAAGCTTCCTTCTGAGGCAAGCCAGCCTTCTGTCCCACCTGCTTGACATTTTGGAATTGTCTATTTCTGATCTCTTAAGGGGAAGCACTTAAACAGTGACCAGCACTGATGGACCCCAGTGTCTCTAAAAGTAGTTTCCCAAGGAACACTGTTTTTTTTTTTTTTTTAAACTTATTAACTGTGTTCTTATTTTCAGTACACAGATAAATATTAAACAAAGTCTTAGGGTGATATTATATGAAGGAGGTCCCAATTGTCTGCCTCTCATATTTATCAAAAACATTCTTTTTAACTATAGCTTACGAAATAGTGCACTTAATGGAATGATCACAGAATCATAAGGTTGGAAGGGACCTCAAGGATCATGAATTTCCAACTCCCCTGCCACAGGCAGGGCCACCAACCTCCCCATTTAATACTAGACCAGGCTGCCCAGGGCCCCATCCAACCCAGCCTTGAACACCTCTAGGAATGAGGCTTCCACAACCTCTCTGGGCAGCCTATTCCAGCACCTCACCACTCTCTGTGAAGAGCTTCCCCCTGACATCCAACCTAAATCTTCCCTCCCTCAACTTAAAACCATTTCCCCTTCACCTGCAGTTATCAACCCTTTCAAAGAGTTGATTCCCCTCCTGTCTGTAGGCTCCCTTTAGGTACTGAAAGGCTGCAATAAGGTCACCCCACTGCCTTCTTTTCTCCAGGCTGAACAAGCCCAGCTCCCTCAGCCTGTCTTCCTAGGGGAGATGCTCCAGTTCCCTGATCATCTTCGTGGCTCTCCTCTGGACCCTCTCTATCAGCTCTGTCTTTCTTGTACTGCAGACTCCAGACCTGGACACAGTTCTCCAGATGGGGCCTCACAAGAGCAGAGTAGAGAGGAACAACCACCTCCCTGTACCTGCTGACCAACCCTCTTCTGATAGAAGATGAATAATCTAAGGATATAAATGCATAGCTTCATCATCCAAGTTAATTATGAGCCTACATAATCTTCGATGAACTTTGAATGCCTCTTCAAATCTTTAAACTAGCCTTTGGGCTAAGTTTCCACAAAGTGCAAAGAGTTAATTTGGGAGCCTCAGAAAGTAAATCTTTACAATACCTCAAAAAAAGTGGAGCACAGTGTTTTGCACGCTGTGTCATATAGGTAGTACAGACTGCTCTCTCCAACACTACTCTGCAAAGACAGCATTTGAGAAAGAATAATTTCACATCCATCCCTGCTGACTCCTCATGAGCAGCAATAAAGATTTCTGTGCCAGATGGAAGGGTGATGCCCTCAGCAACAACAGGAGAAGCAGTGACAAATGCTAGGCTCTGGAGAACTGCAATATTTTTAAGTCTTAACAAAATTCCTGAAACTTTTGATACTTCGGGCTGTTGTTTCTGAAAACTGCAGCAGATGGATCGCTTGTTCCATTCAGCGTGACATTTTTGTATTGCCATAGAAAGGGCAAAGATTACTTTCACCTCATCCTCCTTCTTGCTGAGTAAAAGCATAAACATGACTAGAACAAGTTACCAGTGGGTAATAACATGACTTTGAATGAAGATTGTAATGGTCAAGAGTGTAATTAATTTGTTTAAAACAAATACTGCTTTGTCTGTGGAAGTAGATCTGCCCACATGTTTCTCAAGTGCATTTATGGAGGGTGGTTGCAATAACTCCCCCGTAGTTCAGAAGCACACAGTAGTAATTAATAATACCACTTGGCATTTGTGATTCACATATCAGCAGACAGGCAGGTGTTGGAGTCAATCTTATGGTTTGTCACAGCACAGAGAAAATGAGAGCCAAGCGTGGTCTGGGATGCTCAGTGATTCACTTCTTTGTGTTCTCTCCTCTTCAAAAGCTGCCTGTTGTTTCCAAACAAGAATGCTATCGTTTCAAACTTCCCCTATTATTTTGAGGAAGCATACACAAACCCGTGTGTCAGCGCTCCCTCACTGCACTCGCTTTAGTCGACGGCTTGCTGTAAACGCAGACTAACAAGCAACAGAGGCCTCAGCAGGCTCCCGAAGGCTCCTCCCCGCTGCACAGCCCAGCACTCAGCTGTGCCGCCGGGCGGAAGTGCGAGCCGCGGTAGGGAAGCGGGCGCTGCGCCGTGCCCCTATTCTCAGCCCCAACCTGCTGCGCGGCGGGCCGTGCAACCCGCGCTGCGGAGAGGCTCAGGCGGCCCCGGCGGAGCGGCAGGTAAGGGAGCGGCTGCAGCCTCCTGCGTGTGCAGTATCGCCGCGTCTCGGGAGAAGGGCCTGCACGAGGTATCCCGCGTAGGCTTTTTCCTCTCTCTTTAACCTGCGTGACTGTTTGCAAGGAGCCGGGCTGGAGTCAGGGACGTTGGGCCAGTTCTCGGGCTTTATTCCTTCGGCTCCCTGTGGAGCAAGTTAAAGGGGTGCTAAAGAAGTAGTAGCATTACCCAGAGTTGGAAGAACTGCGTGGTAGCACTTGGGCATCAGTTTTGGTATCCTCCTGTCACCTGGAGTCATCCCCATGAGATCTCTGCAGTGCTAGTTTTCTCTGAACTGCACCTGTAATAAAGGGTGATGGTTGTTCCTCAGGAGCAGCCAAGAAGTCAAATCGTTCAGCACAGCATTAGAAGTGTATTGGTTACTGTATGAGGAAGGCACAGCAGTGCCTTGCTTAGGACTTCCCCAGGAAGTTGGTCAGTGGGGAACAGATCAGAGCTACTCCTGAACATGCCCTACACCGGGGCTGCCTTAGGCTGGGTCATGTGAGAGGCAGGAGAAGAGGCCTGCTTTGATAGTGGCTATAGTGTGTCATGTGAAGGAATAGTTAGCCAGGAGAATGCTGGGATATAAACCCTGTTTGAGCCAAGAGCATTGCTAGAAATGAAATTAATGCTTCTGACTCCCAGCTTAGTAACTGGGCTGTCTAACTTGTTGCAGTAGGGTAGTGCTCATTCCCTTGTTTGAAGTTACATTGAGCCTGGATGCTCCTTTCAGTGGTTCTGGGTGCTAGAAAAGTGCCCTATTTTCTGGCTACTGCTGCCCACACTAAATTGGCTGTAAGCTTTGTTGTTAACAATGCAAGTCTGTCAACAAATACCTTAAATAATTTCTGTAGCTTCTTCTCTGAGTCTATAAGGCTGACCAACATGTAAACCAGGAAGCTTTCACGTGAGCTTTGTTTGACAAGCTAGTTGTTAGAAACAAAAAAAAAAGAGACTAAAATAAAGGTAATTAGTAGCTATTGTCTAAAAGAAGTATGCCCAGTACCTGCAACATACTGCATTAGAACTTAAACAACAATAAGTGTGCTGAAGATTCTTCATACAATACAAAGTACAGTAATAACAATAGAATAGCAAGGTCCTAAACTGTAGCAAGTAAGGATTCACTCAAATACAGTAGCCATAGGCACAAAAACAATAGAAAGAAGTTTCTTACCTTCAGGAGGTCTCAGGTACATAGGGACCTCCCAAAAGATATCTTTGCTCTTCCTTAAATGGCCTTCCTCCTTTGCCAAGCCTTAAATTAGGTCTGGGAAGGGGTGGATCCTGACTCCACCCCTTCTGGTCATTCAGGTACATTGCATGCACCTGAGCTTCCCTCGGTTTGCCCCATCTTCGTACCAGGTGGTCAATCAGTTTGAAGCCCTGATATAGCATTTCCACTAGAGTTACAAAGCCAGATTCTCCCCAGCCCTTGATAACTGTGGGCAGTTAATTTTGTTATCACTGTTGGACAGTGCACATATAACTGGAAGTGGGCTTGTCCTGACTCAGTTACTAGCATGCAGTCTGTGTTGGTATCCAGACCTAGTAAACAAGGAATCATCATGAAGCTATTCATATTACCTGCAGTTTTATCTGTGGGGCAAATGAGTCAATAGGCTGAAGTTTCAAATAGTGACTTTATGCATCTGAGCATGTTTCATTTTGAAACTGTAGGTTGCCTTAATAACAATCCTTTTGAATATTATGAATTTGTATAATTAGCTTTCATAATGCAAAATCTCTCTTTGTTCCCTCCAATGAGTGTATGTAATTAGTATAAGACTTGTTAATCTTTTATTTTACATGTGGAATTAATAATCCAGTATAATTTAGTAAACAAAAGCAAACTTTCATTAAAACATGAACCTCATTTGTTATTACAGTTATAGTTTGGATGTGTATTTCCTTAGGCTGCATACTTTAGGTGAGGCTGACACACATTTCACCTCCCACTCTCAATAGGCTAAGAGATGAACTAGAATAAATCAGTCTGTCATAACTGCATTGTTTTCTTCCCAGTTTCTGCTAGGGTCTTCCAGGTCAAAGCCTCAGGTTGTGTATTGCTTATCAGTGAAAAAATATCTTTTTTATATGTAAAAATGTAGGGCCCTTTTGTCCTGATGTTCCAGTTTTAGGGGGCAGGGCAGCGTGCGAAAGAAACCGGAGCATTCAGACGATCTGATAATAGGATTTTTGAGGCCCCCTCCCTGGTCATTATTTGACCAATTGTAGGGCTCAAATGAGAAAAGGAGATTATGACTTTTATGCTTTTTTGCACATAAGTCTGTAAAAATTCCATTTCTTTGTGTCCGTCTTCTTAAGTCATACCAGTTTGCAAAATAAATGCCATAATGCTTGCTAGTTTATTTCTTTTGCAATCTACTTAGGATAGTCTTTTCCACAGTGTAGCCTGTCTGATGACAGCATGTAACATTGTTGTCTTCGCAGTTTCTGTTGGCTGACAAACACTATTTCTGAAGGCAAGGCTGAGCCTTATGTGAAGAAATCTTGTGTCTCTCAGTGTTTTAACTTGAGTAACTGTTTGTCATGCAGATAGATAAAGTCCTGCTTGCTTGGTTATTAGCTGAAAATAGCAGTAGATGAAATCGTGGGTGAGCTCTGCCACAAATGTTTGCAGGAGTGCAAATATTGGGTTCATAACTTGGTCCAGAGCCCCTGGGTAACAGTGGAGAAATGGCTTCTTTCTTATAAAGAGCTGTGGATTTGAATGTCCTGAAGTCAGTTATGATAGCCAAACTGAATGTCTTTATGGGTTGACCATTTTAACAGAGGAGTAATTTAAAATTCTTCATAGAAAAAGAGATATCACTCGTATAGTGAGAGATCTTGGAAGGGGGTCATAGGCTACGCATTGAGTATCTTCTTTTCATGCAGCTTGTAGGGCTGTGAAAATAAGGAAGTTAGAAAGGAAGTTCAATGAAGTGTTAATAATTGCATGTAAATACATGTGTATGCTTCTATTTTCAGTACCTAAGAAGTGTCTGTGCAGGAGGCAGTTGAGTTTTTTGACCTGTGCAATTTTAAAGTCACCTGTTGGTGAAATTTGTTTTTTTTTTCCCTCCTGATTGTTAGGGTTTACAGTGCAGTAAGTAAACCAGGCAGGTGCATGTTTTTGTAGAGGCTCTTAAAGGTTTACAACAAGAACAGGCACCAATTTGTTTTTAAGCAGCAATTTTCTTTAACTTCAGTTTAGTAGCTGTAATGAAAACGCTAAATTACAGCCTGAAGCAGTGATTGAGCACCTGGTGGGAAGGCCCACCCAGGGGAGCTCAGGTGTATGCAATGTACCTGAGTGACCAGAAGGGGTGGAGCCATGATCTACCCCTTCCCAGACCTCATTTAGGTATTGGCAGTGGAGGTGAAGGTGTTTCTTGCTGGAGTTCTCTGTCTACTTGAGGCTCTCTAAAGATAAGTAATTCTTTTTCTTATTTCTGTGGCTGTTGTGTTGGGGCTTGTTCTCATTTGCTGTATCCAAAGGCTTTGCTCTTCTGCTATTGTTATCCGATTATAGCTTTCCAGTAGCCTGTCTTTATTTACAGGGAATTGCGTTCTTGAACATCATACTCCATTTCCTGTGGTTTTCTAACATCAGCCTTGGGTAATCCAATGTGAATGTTTGATGTTAGCTTCAGAGTTTCTTTAATGAGTTACTCTGAGAATGTGAGTTGATTGTGTTCTGGTATAGAGACCATAAGTATCCCTGTTAATTGAAGAGTGGCTCTATTTGTATTATGTACAAGTTTTAAAAAAAATTATTATATAGAAATTATTATCTAAGCTGGGAGGTCTAGCACAGCATTAAAAGAGACCCTAATCTTAATCTCACAGTAAGTCTATAGCATAGAATTTATGTTGTGTACTGTTCTTAAGGTACTTGTGTTTTTCTGTTTCTACGTTTCTGATGTAGAACAATAGAAAAGTAACAAATTTCTCCTTTTAATGCTTTCTCTTTCTTTTACAGCTACTTGATTAGCAAGATGAAGCCTGCTAAATTGCACTATTGGATATTGGGTTGTTTTTCTATGGCACTATGTTGTTGGTGTACTTCAGATAAATTCCCTCAGAGGTAAGCTGTGATTTAAAACAGGTGACTCAAAAAGCTACTGCTTAAATAATCTAAATCATTGTTCTTATCTGTCATTAGCCAGAAGGTGTTTTATGAGAACTACTTTGCTGTTTCATCTCAGAAGCTTGGTTATTTTAAATACAGGTGAAAGATGCTATTTATTTTTCTAAGCTAGGACTTTTTTTTTTTTTTTAATTTGTGTAGGGAAATTAATATTCTACAGTGTTAGGGAATTGTTTTATTCAGGTTTCCTCTGTAGCAGTGAAGACTAGATAAAAGTATTAATAGCTTTCAGTGGTGCTATGTCTGATTTTTTTTCTGGAGCTATTTAGATAAATTGTGTAAAACCACACATGCATGTGAATGCATAAGAGAAAATGTGGCTATTATGAACTCACAAATCCAGAGGAAAAAACTGGCAAGTGATGCAATGTGAGAGCATCTCTACGGGAGCTGAGAAATAGCTTTCTCATGAAACTTTTTCTATAGCACCCTTAGCATGTATAAGCAAAGGAGATATGGATGTTAGCTTCCAGGGAATAACAACTTATTTTGACAGTTCTGCTTGTAATGCTATCAGCTTGTGCAAATTGCAGTGTTGTCTTTTTTTTTTTTTTCATTTGAGGTTTTATTATGTAGTGTAGTTGCTTCATAGCTTTTCATATCTTGTAATGTCTGAAGCAAGAGGTGTTTAGCCAGGGCGTCAATTTAGATTTACTGGAAAAAAAGAATCTTCTGTAAAAGTGTCTAAAATATGATTTACCCTTTCATCACTTTTTAAAGAAAGCTTGTAAACTTTTTTCTTCATGTAGGATTCAGATAGTACTTAAGTCTCTCTAAGTTATGTACCTCTTTATCAAGAAGCTTTGAAACACAAGTGTTTTTGTGAAAGAAAGTGATAGTATTCCTTCTATAGATCTTCCCTGGGTAAACATAGTAGTGTCACAACTTGTTAACTTCTAAAATGTTTTGAAATTATATAGTTAAGTACTTAAAAAAATATATAGTGTTTGTGTGTAAAACAATAAACCTCAGAAATGCTTACTTTATGTTACTTCTTGTAATTTTTAATTTTTTTAGTTCTAAGTTTTATGTTGTCTGGCAGCATGGTGACACTTGGATGAAATTACACCTCTCGCAGCATCAACTGCATTGTTTGTGGTTATCTGTAGTTTGTTTTTCAGAGGAGTACTTACATTTCCAAGGCTGTATACTTTATTTTCAGTTGAAAGCATCAATCAGAATTACAAGATTAATAATGTCCTAAGCAAGTATCTTTTTTTGTAAAAGTATCTTTTTTGTTGTAAAAGCTTGCCAGTGGATATTTTCCGAAATGTGAAGCAAAACTTATCCTCTATATCTTAATAAATGGGAAGCTTATCAAGCTACTATGCAGATGTGTTTAACAGTGAGGTTTCTAAATATGTTGTTTTTATGTAATTTGTTACTGTTTGATCCTACAGTGTTTGGAGTGTTAAATATTGCAGTAGAAGTTATACAGCACTGAAGTCAGCATGTAACCTCTGTAAATTGCTGGTATTGTGCTCCTGGCTGGAGGTGGTGTTCTTAAAATACTTGAGGAAAAAATAGTTTTGTTCTTCTTTCTACAGTAATAGCCATTCTCACACCTGGAAAAAGCTGTATCTTGCTCACCACTGGCCAGTGACTGTATGCAAGGTGAGATTTGTTTTTTTTCTCTTTTATCTGGACAAAGGGAGCCTTAGACAATAAATCTTTGAAAAGAGAATTAGTAAAGCCCATTGAGTATTTAATCTTGCTTGCATACTTGCATTTTAATAAGGGCACTGGCTGATCTTGGTGCAACTTCTGCAATTTTTTCTGTACTCTGGGGTACCACTAAACACGATGGATTGTGGTGTGTGCACTTCAAATGTAATAGTTAATGTGGGACGTGCTGTACACTAAGCCTTAATTGCTTGTCACGTGTTTTGTTAGTCCTCAACTTAACCTTGGACTTTTGCTAGACTGTGTAAGCAGACTTCCGTGCTTTGTCTGCCTGAAGACAGCTGGTTAGCACTTGAACTGTCTTGCATATTGAGGTTTAGCTTTAAAATGCTGGCTTCAAAGTTTCAATTTCATCAAATACAAATTCTATCTGGAAAAAGGGGGCCCTGTATAAAGCTGTTATGGCAAGTGTCTTTGAGCATTTCTGTATTTAGGGGATGGAAACAACAAAAAAAAAAATGAACCCTGCCCTGCTGTAAATCCTGTATAAAAGTAGTAACAGCAAAACTTGCTGTCAAAAACTTCTGTGGAGAATGGGATATGCTTATGATAAATGTGTGTGGGAGATACCAATACAAAAACTTAGCTGTATTTAGCTGAGACCAAGGAGTGGCCAGTAAGTTGGTTGTTTACTTTTTTAGTGAGTTCAGAAAACTGAAGTTAAAATCGTATGAAACAACATTTTTGTCTAGTTTCACCTCCTTGAGTCATAGGAAAAAGGGAGATACCAACTCTACTCCTATAAGTGCTTTCTTTTTTGTTCAGATTTTGTTAACCTGGGAGGTTCCCAAATTCAGTTTTGAATGTAAAGAAATAGATTATTCTGCATCTTCAGTTATTTAGGTGTGATTGCTGTGTTAAGTTAAAACTGCTGACGTGATGTCAAAAGGAAAAATGATAGCTGGGCAAAGCAAACTGCAAGTGTGTTATTGTTTAAGTTAAAAACTGCTTTGTTACAGTATGTTGTGCAAGCACTTATGAGTTGATGTATCTTGTGTAAAGGAACTTGATTACAGGTGAGGGCTTCAGTACATAATGTGTTTTTGACACGCGTGCATCTTAATGCCTACCTATTTTGTGTATTTGCGTGTGGAAAAAAGTGTTTCAGGTATTTGAAGTCCTGCAAGGCCTTTTTTTGCAAATGTAGTGGACGTGATTCATCATACCAAAAATTTGTGAATGTACCTCTCTCAGCTCTTCCTGTGCTTTAATCTGTACATAACTGTGCTCAGCTCTTGTTTTAATACTGAGTGTGTTCTGCACAATTAAGCTGGAAAGTACTGTTTTAGAAAAATGCTGTGGTAAGGCTCAACTTAAATTTTCTGTTCAGAAATCAGTGTGAATTTTGTTAGATGGAAGTAAGAGCTGCAGAAGGGCAAATAAGGGGGCTTGCCCTCCCTTTTTGTGGAGTTGGACACATCTTTAATTCAAGAACTTATGAAGGTAAATGTTATGATTGCAGCTTTTTCATCTTGGAGATTGTAAAAAACGAATAACTTTTGTGGGTTTTTCCCTCGTGAAATAGAGAAAATCTGATGCAAGTATGTATGCAATTTGGTTCCTGTTCTGGATAGAATAGGAAAAATGAAGAAATGGATACTAAACCCTGCTGTGATCTCTCTTACTATACACATGCTGGTGTTTTCCCATTTTACAGTATTGATTTTAAAAAAAAATTGGAAAATTGCCATGGTCAGAACTAGAGAGGAGGGTGAAGAAGCCATCCGACGAGTGCAGCATGTGACCGAATGTGTTACAGGTGGCAGTGGGCACACCGTGCTGCAGGCCTGCAGTGCAACACCAACTTTGGGAAATGTGTAGAAGAAACTGCTAGCTGGGTTAGCACCATGATTAGGGAGAGCAAGTCCAGGTGTTTCACAGACCTAAAGGTAAAATGATGCCAGATCTTTATTCATCTCTTCAGTCTGCTGTGTTTCAGCGCTGTGCAGCTTGAAGAGGCTTTTACTTGCTGGAAATAAGCTGTTGACTTTTGGTGCTCTGTCACTCAGCTGTTCTGAGTTACTTGGGGCACCCAGTTTGGTCTTGGGAGACTAAAAATGTTGGCTGTCTGACCACAGTTTGACTCTTTAGCTTTCCTTCTGACCTCAGAATGCTATTTCAGATAGGAAACAGCACAAGTCCTGGGTCTGAGCCAAAGCCCTGGTTGTTTCAGCTAAATTGAACTGAAACATGCAGTGGCATTTGGGAACTGTGGTTTAAAAATCGGATAAGGAACACAACTGTGCTGTTCATGTGCCCAGCTGAGCAAGATTGTTATCTGTCAGTCTCCTTTTCAGGGGATGTTTAGTCACTGGTCATTAACTTCCTGCATCTTGGGCTGGTTAGCTGAGCTCTTTCAACTCCTCAAAGCTTGTTTGGACAGGAGCAGTCTCATTAATGTTTCCAGCGTGTGTTTGTAAGAAAGTCCTGCACAGCCTACAGTTTTGCTGCTGCTGGCTTGTGGCATGTAGAAGGCAATTAGTGAGATTACAGGTCTGTCTCTGTGTTTCTCTATACTCCACTCTTGCTTCTGCGTCACGTGAAAGGCATTTGTGGCATAATTAAGGCAGAATGGGCAACGCAGAGTTGAAAATATGATATTTTGGGGGAAGAAAATCTGAGGAGGTTGTTATTAAAGAAAATTGTTTACCAAAGAGAGACCTAATTATTAAGCAGGGTAATCAGGGAAAACATGGTCATTTCATACATCACAAAATGACTGTAAAAACTTTTTATTTGTGCTCAGAAATATGTATTCCGCTCTAAATAATAGTTAATGTGTAGAGTATTTCTCCTGTATTAGCAAAAATCTTGACTGGAAACCTTGGTAGGAATGTACATTGTCTTTGCTCTTCACTCTCTTCCCTTTACTCAAAATAGCTTAAGAATACTTTCTAATTATTTTACTTGAAATAAGCACTTTTTTCTTTTATCTACTCTTAGTGTTTTTCCTTTTCATTATGCTAACAAGGCCACTCCTGGACTTCTAAAGATGGATGTGTGCTTGTCCAGTATTGCAGCTTATGTTTATATTTTTTATTTTGATGACTTTGCACCTCTTAGAAGGATCTGGTGATAAGAAAAATAATGAAAAATGCCACCTACAATATAGGATAAATATAGGGCTAACTCATTCATTTAGCATGGATCTTCCTATTAGCTCAGAATCTGTCCTTTTGTCTTCTGTTACTGCTGCCTGTGGGGATACCCTGGTGTTCTCTTGGTCTGTTTCAAAACTTCAGCTGTGGTCAACAGGCAACTATCACAGTTTCATGTACCTGGAATCACTGATTTGAACAAGCAGAATCTCTTGTATCTCTAGTGCTTTGGGCCACCAGTGAGTGTGCTTTGTTCATTGTTCTAAGCTATTATCTCTGGTCACATACAACATTTTGTTTTCTACAGATGAGTGCTAATGATTGTGAAGACCCTCCAGACTACTGGACAATTCATGGACTGTGGTATCATTGTAGATTGTTTTAATTTCAATCTGGAAAGAAAAATTTTCATACCAAAATGTTTAGGGCTTTTTTTTTTTCCAATGTCATTCTGTTTTATGATTGCTTCAAAAAAAGCCTTTCTTTCATTGGAAATTCAAAATCTGCTCTGATATAAAACTGGTGTGTTCCTGTATATCCTGTGAGTCACTGAGCTACAGAAATCTTTTCACGTGAGCATCTTGTTTACATTTGTCTTTATAAAATCACCACTGTTCTCAAAGAGAAAGGGAAGTAATGGCTTCTCCTCTTTCTTCCTGAGTACAAAGATTTCGTTAGTGACTCGTGACAGCATGTAAATATCTTAACTGAGCACAAATATTGTGAAAGTCTGGAAAAAACTAATTTACTTCAAAGGAATCAACTACATAACGTTGGTGTCAGTGACAGCAATTAGGAGGTTTTCATGACAAGTACATGGAAATATTCTCTATGGAAAGTTAGTAAACCGCATGTCCTGGGAGGATGAACAGCATTAAATATAGATTTCCAATGACTGTCTGATAATACTTGCTCAATTGTCACTTAATGCAGTGGTTGGGGAGCTCAGTGTTGTCAGTGGCATGATGTGCACGATTCTAACAAGACAGTTCCTATATCAGTACTTCCTCTGTACAGTATTACACATTGTGATGAATTGTAGGGCCTAATTAAGAGCCTCTACATGGGAAATGTTTTAGCCATAATTAGTGTACTGGATTTTTACTTACAAAACTTCATAAATGCTGATGGACAATTTGTTTTTTGCAAGTTTATAGCTATAATCTCATATTTAAAATTGAGACTATGATATCTCCCAGCTTTAGTAATAGCTAATATCTTTTTTCACTTTGATTTTGCTTCTTTAGGCCTGACAAAGGTGAAGAATGTAATAGGACGTGGCATTTCAACGTCACAGAGATTAAGGTATTTATTAAAAAAAAAAACAAACAAACATACAAACAAAAAAGCATCATCCAAACAGCTCAGTGTTTTTGTGCTTCTTATGTGCAAAATGTGTAGCTCAAAATCTGTGATTGTAGTTTGCTGAGAGGTAAGACTCCAGCAGTTGATCAAGTGTTTCTGATACTGCTTGAAGTGACAGTGCATGTGATCAGTAGCAGCTGTTCCTACCTGGTTTTGTGGACATGTGGTTGAACTTGTTAAGCCACTTCCTCTGTAGCAAGAAAACATCTAGGGAAAATAGGCACTGAATTTCCAATGATAACCAGTATTTGTGAAAAAGAGGTTACAGTCAGGTCATGATTTTTTTTGTTGTGTGTTTTTTTTTAATGTGTTAATTTATTAAAAATATCTACATCTGAGTTACAGAACAGGTTAGAAGGGATCTTTAAAGAGCATGAGGTCCAACCCCACCTTGCTCAAGCAGACACCTACTGCAGTTTGTCTAGGCAGCCTTGGTGTATCTTCAAGGAGAAAGACTCTGCAGCCTGTTCCAGATGTTTTCTACGTAGGAGTGGGGAACTTGATCATGTGATGATGAGAAGCTCTGTGGTTGAGCAATTTCTGAAGGAACAGCTGAAAGAAAATCTTACTAGTCGATACTAATGTATTTGGATGTTACTAAGGTATTTGCATCTGCCCGTTACTACCTCCAACAGCATTTCAAGAATAAGTGGGAGAAAGGACCTCTTCTTTTTCTGCAGATGAAGTTTCTCAGTGATGCTGAAAGATAAGGCCTCAGTTTTAGAAGAAAATACCCATTTATGTTGATTTTTGTTAGAAATAGCTTTTAAACTCAGCAGGTAAGTTTATCAAGAAACTGTGTTATTTCGTAGGATCTTATGTCAGACATGAGACGCTATTGGCCTGATGTGATTCATTCATCTCTGAATCGCACCCACTTCTGGTGAGTACAGACAAAACTAAACAACAACTTTGGATATTATTTTATGGGAAAAAGTCAATCTGAGTTAATTATTTTTCAGGGAAGGTGTTATGCATGAGAGGCAGCATCCAGGAAACCGCTGAAAGTGGTACTTGTAAAACCCCCCCTCAGTTTTCTTAATATAGCAGGTTCTGAAGAGGGAGCTAAGGCAAAGGTTTTGAAGCAAACCCTACTAAAAGTGAGCGGTAGAATGTTTGTTCCCTTTTTATTCTGGGGAGAGATGCATCTGCAGCTGATATTTAAATCTTGCACTGTGGTTGTGTTGTAGGGATGTCAGAACTAGCTGCAAGAGCAGTTTTCGGATATTTCCTTGCTAGCTTCTCTGCTTTCCTTTTGGTATTTCTGAACAGAGGGTGGAAATGGAAAAATAATTTGCATTGGGTGGTCCTAGCCATTTCTCTTCAGACTTCTATTTACTTTCCTAGCAGCCTAAAATCAGATCAACTCAGCATTTGTTTAGATATCAACCTGCATAAGGGAAGGGAGAAGGAGACTTTGATCTCTCCTGACAATGTTACTATGTGTATTTTCCTTTTCTGGTTTCTCATTGCTTCTATATCACCAGGTGCATGGACTGAAGAGCAGTATAGATGTTTGAGGCTGCACAGGCTTCAGTAGTTTGAATGTATTATTAAACTAAAATCACTGGCAATTTGATGTGATTTGTTTCTGCCAGATCTACTGTGAAGATAATAACATCAGATAAATGTGGCTTTAAATGCCGCCGCCTCCTGCTTTATTCAACTGTAATTACCTCTGGGACTTTCGTTTAGATTACTTCCTCCCTGAGTCACTAGGGCAGATCTTTGAAGGGAATGGGAGTCTCTTTTAATATCCTCACTCTACAGAAGATCTTTGTCCTCCAAGTCTTAAAATGGTCTTAGAAGTGTCTTATATCAGTCTGAATGCCAAAACTGTTCCTCCAGAAAAGTGATCGTGCTTCTCTGTACTCTTCTCCTTGTGTTGTGCTGGGGAGAGTATGGCTGTCTATTTCAATAGCATCGCAAATTTATGCCAAGTTAAACTGTTAAGGGAATAAGAAAAATGTGTCCTCAATCTGTTCCCTCCCATGTCCTGAATGCTCACTTGTTCTAACACAGATACCTTAATAGGCAGCAGGTATGAACAGATATAAAGTCTTTTTTGTTTCTGTTCGAGGCTAGCAAACAGTGTTTATCTCTTGTTATCATTAGTATAAAAATAATCTGAAAGTTAAGTTAGAACACTGTAACTAGTATTTTGATTGACAGAGTAATTCACTCCCTCTCAGTAAGGTAACAAGCACACTTTAATTGGCAATTCTAATTGCAGATTTTGTAAATGCAAGTGTTAAGCTTGTTGGAGGCCAGTAAGACCTTGCTGTATGTCTTAATTCAGTTAAAATAGTGTGTTCACTTCAATTTTTTTTTTAAATGTCTAGTATAAAATAAATGACTGAAATGAGAATCTGAAAATAAAATTAAGATTTTTCATCGTAGACTTGAAGGCACCTTAGGTAAGGAACAGAAGCAGCGACAAGCAAAATGGTTAAGTATCTTAGCATATCATATTGGGGTTTTTCCAAGACTGCCCTAATTGCTTACTGTGTTTCTTCCTGTATTTACCTCTTAGTTATTTCTGGCTTAAAGGAGGAGATAAAGATTCTTCAGGGGGATTAAAGAATGGCTGTAGATTCCTCTGTAAGAATAACTGTGCATCTTTGTTCACCTTGTTTACTAGTGAACTGTGGCCTTTGTTACAAAGTAGTGTGAATAGGATACAATACAATGCCTTGTAACAGGATGTATACTTTGCATCTCAAAATTTACTATCTGAAAACCCACTTCTTGGGGAAGTTTTAGACTTATTTTTTGAACAAAATAAAAATTTCTAAGTCAAGAGAATTCCCTTCAGGATCAGTTTATACATGTGATATACCAGAAGGGATCTGTGCTTACCCAGGACAGGTGGGTATCCCCTCATCTTCAACATTCTGTGGGCAGTTCTTGCAGGTGTGGGTTCTTACCGTTTTTCAAGCTGGGTGATTTCTGCAGTTCTTGGACTCACCTGACATGTGCCCAGTATTGTAGGCTGCATATCTCAGATACTGAGCTTGGGGAGCTCTGTCCTTGTTATATTTTTAAAAAAATCTTAATGTTTAGCATTTTTTTTTTTTATCACATAGGAGAGTTTATCAATTTCATTCCTTTGTGTTTTTGCTGCCACTTAAGACTCCATTTTTAGAACTTAACTGTTAGATATGTCAGTGTGGTATTTGTATCTTAAGAGCACCATCAAGAAAATGGTGAAGAAGGACAAATTATATTGTGGAATCCAATCTAATGCTGTACCCCCAAGTACTGTGGAAGTACTTGTGTCCTATGAAGAAAACAATGTTAAAGTTGTTGATGGCTAACATGTTCTCTGTGATACTGCTTATCTTATGAGTATGAGGAGGTACAGAAGGGAGGATGACCTTCACAAATGCAGGTGGCCATGTTCTGTATCCGTGTGCCACCCAGCTAAGGCTCAGCACAAGGACCTTGTCTAATTGTGGCCTATGTGAAGGATAAGTCTCAGTGAATAGCGCTATGAGATGTTCTTTCAATTTCTAAATAAATTGTTTATCATTCCTTTTTTTTTTCCTGCAACTTGTTTAACTCTCTTCCACTTAAACACTTCATGTGCCTGTGCTGAATGGTCAGAGTTAGCTGTATCTGCATCATGCTTTGTTTTTTTTTTTTCAATGTCACTGTGCTGCAAAAATGAAATTATGTGAAAAGAAACAGGTAGAGAGCAGAACCATTACTGACTTTAAGACAAATTCATATACATAACGTATAGCAAAACACAATACTAATCTGGAATGTCCCAAGTCCACGCTGTTGTCTAAGCCACTGTACCATCATTTCCTTTCTCTTTTGCATCTCTTACTTTTATTTGAAAACTTTTTCTCTTGCAGCTGCCAATATTGAGGACAGCTCATTTATACATTTCTAATGTGGCTTACCGTCCAGAAGAATTCTTCCTTAGCCTGATGTTACAAACCACAATGAGGGGCTTTAGCTTTTTTCTCACTATCCTTACAGGTTCAAAAGCTCTTGAAAAGTGCTTCCTCTAAAAGAAATAAGTGTTGCTGTAAATAATGTTTTATAGGACTTGAATTTTGGTTTCTTCCTATAGGAAACACGAGTGGGAGAAGCATGGCACTTGTGCAGCCTCACTTCCGATTCTAGATTCTCAGAAGAAATATTTTAGTAAAACCCTGGAACTCTACCAGCATGTTGACCTTAATGGGTATGTTAATGAACTCTCTGGTCTGCTCTTACTTCAGACAGTTTCTATGAATTTAAGATCTAATTTAAGAAAAGAGTCTAAAAATCTCATGGCATAAATAACTTTTAGTACTGGAGTGTAGAAGAGGGGTTTTCTGCTTTGAGAAACATGTCTCTGGTCATTTCAGTCTTGTAAGGCAGCATGCTTCGTTTCATAGTCACCTTCTAACACAAGCTGTTAAACTTTGAGAAGCTGTATCAGCTGTATCTCACTAACAAAAACTGTGAGACTTTAACTTCTAAATCAAGTGTCAAAAGCTCCAGATCTCTGAGTTGTGTTTAGGAAATACAGTTTTTATGCTCAGAGGGGAAGGCAAGCTGCAGACAAACTTGTACAGAGCATCCTGGGAAGGTGCTGAAAAATAACAGCAAGGAAGGTTGTCCAGAAGTGCAGTCTTCAGTTGGTGTGTACAGCTCTCAGCTTTCCTTTCAGAAGTAACCTCCATCTGACATTCTTGCTTTGTCCTAAGAACTGATTTCTCCTAATGTTTCCAAAGCACTTGCAATTGTAGATACACTACCTTGATAGAAGTGTTGGAACTTGTCCAAGCACTGTATGAACATATCATGGCTACAAATGAATATCAAAAGTCCTACCCTGGTCAATGCTTATTATGGGTGGGAAAACATTTAACTTGGGCTTGTTGATCATGAAACATCTCTTTGTGCTGGAAGACTTTATCTGGGAGATGAGAAAAATTCTCCTTTTGTATTTAGAAATGTATATGTATTTAAAAAATCTGGTTCATATTTTCTGAGCGTCTTGTTCAAGCAATCTGTTTAATAGTCTTATTTGCTTTGCATACGCACAAAGGAAATCTTTTTTTCATCCCACTCATGTTTTTGCAGGTGTCTTGTAAAACTTAATCATGCTTTTCTAAGCACAGCGCATATTGTATTTAATGTTAAAACTAACAGTAACTGATAAACCAACTGCCTAAGTAGCTGTGTGACTAGAACATCTTACAGATGGCACAGTGACCGACTGTGGCTCTAAATCAGCATGTGTAGTGGAAAAAAAATTAAGATTGTAACATCTTGAAGTTAATTGCTCATAGCATGCTCCTCACTGAGGGAGGGAACAAAGCACCCACATAATTAATTTCATCTTTGCTGGAAAATGATTGCTAATGTTCTCATTACTTCATTTATGCTTTTAGGAGGGAAAAGTAGTGTTAGAATGATTACGAGTTCCCTTAAAAAGATCTTTAATATTAAGAGGATATCATACAGGCTCCTGTAAAGTGATGATAGAACATTGTGTTTTCATTAGCAAGTAGATCCTTACACAGTTGGGCAAGATCTCCCTAGTGCAGAACTTGACCTTGGAAGGGCTAAGCATTATTAGCGCTCATCATCCGAAGAGATGCTGAACATTTCCATGTACTGCTGAAGAAGCAAGGAAGCTGGTATTCTAAGGCTCAGCACCTGTTGGGTCCTGAGGTTTGCTGGCAACTGAAAGTGTGAACTTCACTCAGGACTGAATCTAAAGGAAAGTGTGTTTAAGCCAAAAGTTGTTGAGAATTACCTTGTTGCTCTTATATGAACAGCTGTCCTGTTAAAAAAAAAAAACATCAAAACATTTCTAAAAATCACTTTGTAAGTAACCTGACATCAGTGTTGATCCAGATTCTGTGTCCTAGTGGCCAGAGCACACGAGTTAGTGTGCCCTTGATGCAAGGGAAGGGTGCCATGTTAGCTCTCAGCAGTGCAATCTGGAGATCCAGCAGGTGATAGTAACATAGTCTTTTTTGTTTGTTTTCTGAAGGCACGTCTCTCTCCTGGCTTCTCAGAGTAAAGTATAACAGTGGGTTCTTGCTGACCCTGCTTAGTTAATGGGAAGTTGCTTTTAAGAAAAGGACACATTCCCTTGGCCTGGCAAAGGATGGAAGACAAGTTTTCCTTGCTTAACATAATTTTAAGTTGTCACTGACATTATTAATTTACCTAATGCTTGTGAAGTTATATTTCTATACAAGAACCATGGAAATGTTTTGTCTTTCCTTTAGTTTTCTCCTGAAAGCTGGGATAAAGCCAGGCAGTACATACTACCAGGTAAGAAAGGACCTTTTATAAAAGCGGCATCACGTGTGTACTTCCAGCAAAAGTCAAATTATTTCTAGAGAGTAAATGATCTTTAATTGCATGTGTTATATTTAAAGTTGTGCTTCATCTTAAACTTTTTGCAAACTTACTGTTGGAAAATGTGGTAGTGACTTATTAATTTTCACAAGCTTTTAAATTTTTCAGATGGCTGATATAAAGGAAGTGCTTACAAAACTTTATGGGGTTACACCAAAGATCCAATGTCTTCCTCCAGAAGAGGTAACAAAATAAATAGATAAAACCAAACACAACCACACAAAAGCCCACAAAATAATAACATCCGAACAAACACATTTTTATCAAAAATTTAAAAGAGTAAAAATAGTGAAAAATCTGCAGCACAGCAAAGCACGGAGTGTTCCTTGTGCGTGCAGCTCCTTGGAAATTGGGTGTTGCTCAGTTCCTAGAATTGAGTACACAAAAACATTACCTGCATCCTGGCACCACTGAGCTCAGCTTATGTTACTGTTGATATATATCCATTTCTTAACACAGAAATATTGTTAATGGAGGGAAGCGTCCATTCTTCATGCCATAGCTTTGTTCTTAGTGTAGGTACTCAGACACTGGGAGCTGTGGGGTTTTTAAGCCCTATTTGTCTTAAACTTTGTATAGGCACCTCTTACAAAATGCTGTACTTATTAGACTAGAGGTAAACTTTATATGAGTACTTTCTCCTGCTGTTGCTGAAACATAACTGCTTTATAACAAATCAGCAGACCCAGTAAGAATGAGCTGAAAGGAGCTAGTTAATGCATTGCCCTTGACAAGGGTACTGTCCATTAAAAGCAGTCTTTAATTCACTGTGAATGGTTTATGTTTTGCTTGAAGTTATTCGCTATACAGAACCATTCAGAAATAAAGCAGTTTAAAGGCTCGTTTCTGAGCTTGTTCTCAAAAGCCCCTATCTGAAGAGGTATGACAGTGTTTTGATGGTCATAGGTCCAGTTTTTCCTTTTGAGCTATTGCGGTCTAATGTTTCCATTTCTTTGTGTTTTTCCTTGCCAAGATTGTACTGTGAATTGCAATACAGCAAAGAATGTAGTACATAGGCTTTGCTGTAGCATAAAGTACTTGTTCTCATTATCTGAACTAAGAATGCTTTTGGAGGAGTGAAGTAGTAGTCTGAACAATATACGGATAGGCTGCGTAGTTGTCAATTTGTTTCCTCTAAGGTGACTCTACTTTAAAAAAACAAACACACCAAAAAGCCACAGAAAAACCCCCAGCAACAACAGAAATCCATACAAGATAGTTTCGTCCTCTTCTGTGGATCTTATTATTTCAGCTTGATAAAAATGGTTTACCACACTTGCTAGAGTTACGGCCCATACACAGAGAGCAGTTTTATGAAAACTTCCCAAGATACAGTTGCTGATGGAGTTTAATAGCTCTTATGCTATCAGCTCATTTGCTTTAGTAGTGCCCTGAGATTCTTAGAAGTTGCTTCATGTGAAAAAGAATTTAATGTTAAAATTATCTTTAAATGTATTTTTATGTTACTCTAAGCAACAAAGGAATATGAGTTGAATGTGGCTTTGCAGAGGGATGCAGTCACTTCTCTTTATTCTTAAGGGTTTCATAACAGGTCTTTTTCCACATATACTTTGTGTGTGCATTCTCTGTGACTTTGCCAATCTCCATTCCTATAGCAAAGAATTATTTCTTTAATGCCCACTGTGGGTTATTTTAGCCTGTTCTGCAGTCCGAAAGTGATGTGTCCACCAATCCTGGCAGCCTGCTTTGGTATTCTCTTCAGTAAAAACTTCTGTAAAACCAAGGTTTTTTTTCTCTCTTTTTGGAGAGCTTTCTTTGGTTCAGTTCCCATCCTTCTGTAAAAGAGTTGGTGGAAGGTGCCTTTCAGGTCAGACATATCCTTTAATATGCTCAGAGTTCAACTAGAGCTCATTGCTAAGATGAGCAGCTTCTGTGTTCTGGGCTAGTTTGCTAAATGGTAAGATAATCTGCCATGATATTTCTTAAGTCTTACTAGTTATGCACATTCCCCAAACTGTTAGTGAATTAAAGTACTGGAATGTGTTTGCTTGTCTACAAGTGTGTTCTATAAGATGTTTGTAGTGGATGCTTCCAGTACTTGTCTCCTTCACATTTTTACAAAGATAACTGTGCAAGCAAGCACTGCTGTATTCAGTAGGTAAGGCAATATATTTGACAAAATGGTTTATTTTCTTCTTTGTAGCAAGCTGATCTTATCTCTTATGTTTCTAGAGTGAAAAAGCACAAACACTGGGTCAGATTGAATTCTGCTTCACCAAGGAATTGAAGCTGAGGAACTGCACAGAGCCAAAGGGTGAATCCAGCCAAATGCACACCAGCTTGCAGCTTGTGACAGAGGAGTTATCTGTCTGCAATGACACTCTCCCAGTCTATTATCCTTCACAAGTCCAAGATCACAAATGGAGCCTCAAGAGCTTGAAAAACTTCTTCAACAAAACAAGTTAATGACAACAATCCCTTAAAGTCATACCTTGGAAAGCAATTTTGACTTAGCAATATTACAAAATCTTGCCTGTATCAGGTGTTCTGAGGGCACTTCTGCTTGGGGAAAAGAACCAAAAAAATGCTTTGGCCATTATAAAAGAAAATAGTTTGCATTGTAATACCAGCTATGTAGGCTGGAGTCTTGAATTGCTGGTCTGGTACAGATGAAATCAGAATCTGATTTAGAGCTCTGTCTGTACTTCTTGGCTTATTTTATAATTTGAATCAGTGTTCAAATAAGCTGTGATGACTTAGTTTCATTTGCAGTTCAATCTGCCACTTCAGCCACATGTTTTTTTGGCAGTGACTCAGGGTAGCTAAGTTATTCTTCATTTTAAAAAGATGCTTATCAACTTGAGATGACAATTTATTGAAGGGAATATTGTAAAATGGAAGAACTTGAGATCTGTCTGCTTTGTGTAAATATGTTCTCCAGAAGCACTGTAGCATTAAACCTTTCCTCACTCAGATTACAGGTGCCCAAAAACGACAACCTTTTAACGAATATACTTATTGGCATCTGCTAAAAGAACCCCGAGATTGTACTTGCAGCCTCACCTGTTCATAGGTTGATTTTGGCCCAGTGACTAATACCCTCATGAAGAGTGACTGGTTTTAAATTGTCTGCTTTTATAGGAAAATAATATTAGACCCTAGAAATATTCTTAATGTTTAACAAATTTGAACAATTAGCAATTAATCCCATAACAATAACAAGCCACAAAGTTGCATGCTTCCAAGTAAGACTGATTTAGATGAGATCCTCTACACAGTGCTATGGTGATGCAAGTGTCTCAAATTGTCTTTGAAAGACAATTAGGACTCAAAGAACCATCTGTTAGAGAAGTGTATTACTGCAAAAATGGTAAAAGCAAGTTTCTGAGTGGAAGGTGATTCAAAGACCAGAAATTATCTGTTGTGCATTGGTATTTTTGGCCATTTTTCAGGGAGTGCTGTGATGATCCAGTATTTTCTCTGGGGTTGACTTTAATAATTGTGTAATATTCTGGTAAGAACAGTAAAGAGCACACTATAAAACTTCTGTGTATGTTTGTGTATGCATTGTACATGATATATCACGTCTGTTTGCAATTAAGAACACCAATACAGCTTGATTATGAACGCAGTTCTCAATTAGAACAACTGACTTCTCAAAATCTGTAGATGTTGTCATCTTGGGAGCAAGGGTAACATGAGAAAAAAGATATAAAATCTGTAATGGTACACTGTGCTGTCAGATGAATGGTTGCTGGGGTTGCTAGTTATTTTAATTCCTCTTCACAGCTGAAGAAAAGCTCAAATAGAAACAATGGGAGTATTGCTGGTTCTTGTACAGGCTTTATGGAAGCTTGAGTCAATAGCCTGATTTTTTTTTTTTTTGTAAATTGTAGTATAAGTTGTTTTACTTTATATCTTCAAATAATGCTTAAGGAGACAAAATATATTATGTACAAAATCTCCATAGTTCAAATGTATTGCATTAGTTACATATTGCAGCCCACAGCTGCAAATACCAGCTTCAGAAGGAAGTAGCATAGACACAGCCTTTATAGTGTGATGCTACACGTTCAAGCTGATTCTTGCAAAATGGTCAGCAGATCAAGACAAATCGAAGCTATTGACCTCTGCAGCAGAGCAAACAGTGCAGCTTCCATATACTTTTTGGCCTTCTGCTCAAATGCAAGCAATGTGAGGGAGCTGCCAAGTTCCAGAACTTAGAGGATAACCTGTATCATTTGAAATGGGAGAGGAAAAAGGGAGGCTGCACAGCCAGCAGTACGCTGAACAAGAATCCTGCTACTGAATGAGAAAGTGATTGATGAGGGCTAAGTCAAGATGAACTAAAAATAAATCAGAGACAGAATCTCAGCATGGCTGAGGCTGGAAGGGACCCCCTGGGTGCATCTGGTCCAATCCTGCTCCAGCAGGGGCATCCAGGCCTTTGTCCAATACATTTAGTATTTCAGCTTATATATTAGCAATATATGCAACTACTGTGACTTGGTATTGATAATCCCACTTGTGTAACTTCTAGGATGATGGGAAGGCTTTTGAAAAACAATTGGCTGACTTATGCAAGCAACTTCAGAGATCTGTACTAAGGACTCCCTAAGGACAACCGAAAGAGCAGATGGATGAATGGTAGCACCAGTTCAGACCAAAGATTATGGCTATCCCTATCAATGACTCGCAGCCAATTACCAACCTTGGCAATTGCTTTTCATCAGGTTGTATGTAATTCTAAGAGTTTTACTAATACAATTTAAGTACGGGAGGTAAACAAAAGTATGTTGGGAATCTCAGGAATTGCTTTCAGTTCTGAAAAGTGGTGCTTACTGCCTTAACCAAAATAAAATCTGTCAGCCTTGAAAACTGAACACATCCTGAGGAAGATGAGTTTTATTTTTTTCTGCATCATTAAATTAATTTAACTAAATCTCAACAGGGAAGTTGTTTGTGCAGTCTCAGTGCTTTAAAACACTAGTCAGCTCCACAAAGGGATTTAGCTTTTTTATACCGGTTGTCTGTCTGCTCTTATGCACAATGTGTAAGTATTCCATGGTGTGTAGGTCAGAGCACAGGCTCTCATCTTTTCATGGTCAGCTCCTGTTCTCTCTATTGCTCCAGCACAGATTCCTGCCTCAGCTGGCCCTTGCTGTCTGTCAGAACAAAGTAGGGCCCCATCACAGCAGCAGGGCTGTGGGGCCTACAAATGTGGACAACACAAGTGCCTGCAACAGCAAAGCAGTTGCTGGCTTTGGCAGTGGAGACGGTAGCTTTTGAGAAGTCCTTTTGTATTCAGACCACTCAGCTCTGGTGTGGATGTGCTTCAGGCAGTTTTGCTCTGCTTCGATCTGGCTCTGATCACCATTAAGCAAAGGCCACAGAAGGTTAGTGGCGCCACTAACATTGTTATTGCTGCCTGATGATGCAGGGGAAAATGTCAGGACTTTGATAGTCACTTTCCCAGTAATGGAGCAATCAGTGGTAAGGAACGATATATTTTTCCTGAGTTTGGGCTGCCTTGCTACTTGGGTAGCTTCCTTGATGAGGCTCATCTCATGCCTTCTTTCCCTGCAGACGAGGATTCCTTGCTATGCACAGTTGTGTTATGCCACCCAGACTTGATATACATAAATAATGCTTTTCTGAAGGGGTTTCGGTTACTTGTGCTTTGGAGATAACAAGTTCTGGTGTACAGGCTCAGTGAGGCCTGATGCAGGAGAAGGACAGATTATTCACCACGGAATTTTCTGTAACTCACACTATTAGGAACCTGTGCTCTACATGCAAATCAAAGAGAAGCCCAAACAAAATTAGCGAGAGCAGCAGTTACCATGTAATAATTACCACCTTCATAAACAAGCCTGATGCATCCCAGTGGGTACCTGCCATTAGATTACTTCTGCATAGCACAGCTGAGTAATACTTGCTACTGTCGGTGCTGGGGAGAGGCCTCTTCCCCTGCAGGTCCCTGCTGCAGATGAGGGAGTTGTCTGTGCTCCAGCAGAGGCACAGTGCCTCCTGGGATAGGAAGAGCTGACCCATCACTAGTGCTTCCCTTCCACCCAATTGACTTTCCACAGGTCCACCTCTCTCGTTCCATGGGTTAAGCTATGATCATGAAGTTGTCTCTCCGAACTTTTTGTGCTGTCAGTTCTCAGTGCCAGCTGTTACACATTCATGCTCAAAACAATGCAGAGATTCTCAGATATTTACCAGGTGCCTGAAGCATGCATTTTTGAAGGAGGCTGATGAACTGACAGGTGAAGCAGGAACAGCACTCATCTCCGAGGCACACAGATATTCAGGCTGATGGTGCAGGTGTCCTGCAGGGAGAGCACAGCTGGCCCTGCCCCAGTTACCCTCCCAACTCCACATTTCTTAAGAGACTACATTTGCACAATTTGCAGGGCCTTCAGTGAGCAGTCTGTCACTGTCACTTCTGAGATCTAATGCACGATTGCCATAGTGAAATAGCGCCAAGACACAAACAGTCCTCTTATCTCCAGAACATCATTTTGTTTTCTCTTATATTCCCTTCGTTATCCTCAGGGAAAGACCAACTGTGCTCTTTGATCTCGGAGAATAGCCAAACCATTCATGAAGACTCAGATATTGCAGCAGAAAAAATGTCAACTCTCATGGACAAAATGCACACAAAATATTTTTCTTCTCTTCTCCCTCCCTTACCCTTTCCTTCTCTTACTTCCCCCTTTTGTTTTGAGAGATTCTGGCTTCAGGGATCACTGAGGGACCTGAGGAGGGTAGACAGATTGATGGATAACTTTTAATCTGTTATTCATTATAAAGGATTGGGGGTTGAAACTTAATGATGAACACAAACCATTCTGTACCTCCACACCTATCCCTCTGGCACCTGTTATTTGACATTTTTGTTTGATTAGCAGGTTTGCTGTTACACTCACATCTGACTAAGAGTAATGTATAAGAAAAAAATAATTAATCTAAAAGATGGTTATGCTCAATTAACAGTCTGGGATATCTGTAATTACTTAAACAGAAACATGGCACAGTTGGTGTTGTCCGTCTGGGCAGATGGGAAAACAGGGAAATCGTAGTATCTGTTTTCTTACTCAGCTCTGCTGCTGTTCCTGTGTAAGCAGCTTGAAATCTGGTTGCAGTTTTAAGTCCCATGGAAAAGAAGGCAGACTTCCATGCATTCATTCTATGCAAAGGGGCATTTCATCACCCATAGGTCTGGACATATCATTACAGTCTGAATTTTAAAAATACCTCAAGTTTTGGAGGGAATCAGAGCATCTGGTCTCTGCAGTGCCACTGAAACCCTGGTACGAGCAACAGAAGACCAGCTCTAAACCTGGCTCCTTCCAGGGATGACTGGGAACATATCAAGCTGCCTGGGGGCAGTGGACTTGCAGAAGTCTCTCTCTCTCCCTTCCTAAGCCTTTTGGGGGAAACCAGGTGAACCAGAGTTTCCCAAGATCAGACCTGATACTTCTCATGCCCCGCATCTCCCTCATCACATGAGTTTTGCAGCCACCTCTTAGGATTTGATAAGCAGCATTTTTAAGCATTTTGTGTCTCTGACTGAATTCTGCTGGAGGCCACCAGTGGTCAGTGCTAGAAACTTTAATGAGGCAGCTTGCTTTATAAACTGCAGAGAGCCAGATGGAGCCAATTCTGTAATCCTGAAATATAAATTATGTATTATTTAATACAGATTCTGAAGTCCCTGCAGGATTGCAAATCAGCCACTTAATAGCTTTTCACTTTAAACATACTGAACTCTGTAATAACTTGATGTCATTCTGAACACAGTGATTAAGTATTCAGTTTACAAGACAAATGGAGACTCATTAGAGTCAATCAGAGAAGAATAACATGAACAAGAACTGTCGGTATTTATAATAGTTTCAGAAAAGAATATTTTACCAGATACTTTGGAAAAAAAAAAAAAAAAAAAGCTGCTGCTTTGTTATCCTGTGAAAGTACTGCCTTCTTCATAAGAACTTCTAATGAGATCTCTTCCAGTCCCGATGTTTTATGGTAATCTGACTGTACGACGCCATCGTACGTCAGTGTAAAATTAAGTGGTGAGTGTGGCAGTGTCTCTCCTATTGACTGTTTCTTCGCAATCTATTTTAAGCTTTTGCTATTGTAATTACCAGAATGAAAGGAAGCTTTACTTTACGTAATGCAATAGGAACTGAATCAGCAGCCAGTGACTTCTAGCACACTGGCCAGAAAATAAAAAAGCAGCAAGGGGAAGGAATATTTGATGTGCTTAGTTGGTCATGTTTGCTTAATGTGGAAATTTTTCCAGTAATTTAAAGATCAATGACATGAGGAACACAAGGTACATTTAGTTAGATACACACATTCCAATGTTTATGATTCCAGTTTCTTGTTACTTCAATTCCATCCATCTCTGTAAGTTTTTTACTGTATTTATCCTACTTTTTTTTCTTTTTTACTGAGGTTGCATGGGCTTTGGCTTCCAAAAGTCAAATACAAATGTCAGAGTAATGCTAATATATCATAGCCGAGGAATTGGAATAAAATTATTTCCACTTAGTCAAGGATTTCAGAGTGAAATATGAAGTAGTATCATGAGTAGGTTTGGAGACAGAAAGTCATAGATGGATGCTGCTTTTCAGAAAATTGCTGAGTATTTATTTCCCTGAAATTCTCTGCAGCACAGCAACAGCTGTGGGCTCCAGACACAGCATTCAGGGTTCCTATTGATTAAACATGGTTTTATTGTTTAAAAGAATCACAGTCAGGCTCTACTAATTAATAAATAACCAATGTATTCCAAATTACTTGCAATAAGGCTCCTGTTTTAACTCCCTGTTTGCAGTAACAGCATGATTCTCTTCCAGGTTATGTGGCATTATTTGTATTTATGGTAGGGCTGTGTTTTGCACCTACTTTTTGTGAAGATAAAGTTGGCATGGCCATCTCCTAGAATCTTGAAGTCAGTTTTGTATTCATTAAGAGATCATGGAATCATAGAATAATTAGACTTGGAAAAGACCTCCAAAATCTTCTAGTCTGTTTACCTACGACCAATGTTTCCCACTAAACCATTCCCTTTATTACCATGTCTAAACATTTCTTGAACTCCTCCAGAGACAGTGGCTCCACTACCTTCCTGGGTAGCCTGTTCCAGCACCTGACCACTCAGAAAATAATTTTTTCCTAATATCCAGCCTCAGTCTCCCTTGGAGAAACTTGAGGCAAATCCATCTAGTCCAATCACTAGTTGCACGGGAGAAGAGGCCAACTTCCAGCTCACCACAACCTCCTTTCAGTTAGTTGTAGGGAATGATGAGGTCTCCCCTGAGCTTCCTCTTCTCCAGGCTAAGTAATCTCAGTTCCGTAAGCCACTCCTCATAAAGCCTGTTCTCCAGACCCCTCAGAGCTTTGTTGCCCTTCTCTGAACATGCTCCAGAGCCTCAACATCTTTCTTGTAAAGGGCCCAAAACTGAACACAGTACTTGAGATACTGCTATTCCAAGACAATGGAAATTTGTATTTAAGTAAGAGAGCAGAAAGTTTTGCAGAAAAAAAATAATATTACTTAAGTAATATTAGTAATTTTGCTTTAGAAAAGTAATTATGTTTTCATAGAAAGAAGGGAGAGGTTTTGTCTTCATTTTCCTATTCCACATGTTGAATAAAGACTCTGAGAGGGGGATCATGCCTTGATGCAACCTGCCTGGGCTTTGTGTATTTATTGGGATTAACTACTACTCAAACCGCTCTGGATAAATTAAAACAGAGAAAAATTCTATTTGCATAATACATATGACAATAAGCAGGATTAGTTTTTATTGTTTTTTAATTTTGTTTTGTATTTTTGGCATTTCAGATTCTGCTAGTTGTGATTTT